GCTTCACTTCCAGCTATCTGGCTAATACAATACAAGGATAAAGAAGCCGTAGTAGAGCGTTTTATGGGAAATATTCTGAAGAGTGGAGGCCAGTGAAAGCTTTAATCACCTCACTGTTACTGGCTTATGTTTCATTATGATATCATCATCGAACAGAGAAAGGAGTGTCTGGGACAGAGAGAAATGGAGGCTTAGGGAGACAATGGGGAGATGTGGTTGAGGGGGAAGGCACAATGAGAAAAAGAGGAAAAGAGATGGACATAGAAGATGAAATCTCCAGAGCAGTTTCAGAGCCTGGGTTCTGTAGAAATAAATGGCAACACTGATCGCCAGCCACCTCTAATAACCCATTCCACAATCTCAAAATATGATCTGTAAATAGTAATTAACACTCATTCCCATGATAAACGTGTATCTAATATGCCACAAAGGATCTATGAGTTGATAAATTTTGTCCTGACGATGATCTGGATAATTGTAATGGCTTCTCTCCAAGTGCTGTAGCATCTGTAGGGCTTTCCATAAAGGTTTCTATATGAGCTGAACAAGCCAATAGTTTTTATGAAGCTAACTGGGTCACTGCAAGCAGATCTCAAATCCCAACACCAGGACAGCAACTTATCATAGGACTTCAATTATAGCTCAAAAATGTTGCCGTTGCCCTGAATTCCCCTAGAATCTGAGGATGCTGTTATTGAGTTACATGTGGTGGTGTTTACACTTGGAAATGTAAAAAAATATATATTTATACATATCTGTGGTGACATTCAAATAAGGCTAAAATAAATAAGTCAGAGCAAGAGAATGTCTGATCTTTTCCACTCAACAATACGTACTTTGTTATTTCAATAACCTCAAACATTAAGATTTTTAGATTATTATTAATTACCCAACTGTAGGTACACATAGCATCTCATAAACTGAATTTAGAAATTAATTGAGAAACAGAAAAAGAGAAAAACTATATGAATATGGTTTCTCCTTCTGTAAATAACAAAATCCAGTAAATTTTTCACACCACACTAAAATACATGTTTTTTGTTGTTGTTGTTTTTAAAAGAAATATGCATTACATCACAATTTCCCTTATAGCCCGTCTGCTTACCCAGAGTGTCAGCACCATTAGTTTCAGCATCCCAGCGTGAGTCGGGGAGGCCCTTGGCCTGTAACAGGGGGCTCCTGCTTCCTCTCATGGACTATCAGTCTTTAATTTTAGCTTCTGACACAGCCAGGGAGATTCCTTGTTAAGTGGTAACACTTGAGAGATCATTATTTCACTCTCAAGCTAGGTCTCAGTGCTGTACTGTCACTGTTTTGTTTCCTAGAATACAGAACGCATGCAGCTATGTGCCTGAGACATGTTTTCATTGAAATACCCATGGAGGGCATGGAGCACACAGAAAGCAAGCTGAATGCTGTCCTCTGGTAACTATAACAGTGGGTGGTATTTGTCCATGTGCCTATGAAATCCATCTCCAAGTGTCTTGTGATCGGACTTAGTCTCCCTCTGTGCTAGCCACTGCCTCTGGTCCAATCTAGTTTGCACTTCCAAATGGGAACCAGTCATAACGACACAGTGAGTAAGGAGTTATTAAAAATCAAAACACAGCTGATTAAAGCTAGGATGAAAGAATCAAAATTAAGGCTGGTGATCGGGCCTACAGAAACAGACAGAGCCGCTGTGTAAGGGAGAAACTGACCTACATTGGGAGAAGGGAGGAGAAACACATTATTTTACCTGAGGCAGAATATGTATGTAAAGAGGCACCACTGCCTCCAGGAACATTCGCAGGCTTGTGTTCTTACACAAATCTGGGCAGGTAGGATGAGATAGATATAAGACCGACTTAGTACCTGCGTCCTCTGATCCCAGTGGCTCAAAAAAAAAAAAAAAAAGGATTAGGTGTTTCAGTCTGTGTTGTTCTTTACAGGTTGTGACATTTCACAGCACAGAGACTACGAGTATGGAGGACTTTCTTCCCCCGTTATCGCGTCCTGACATTAACAGAAAGTGACATGCTTGTTAAGACAATAACAGCAGTCGCCTGGAATCAGTGTTACACCCGTCCGGACAGTAAATTCACACTGAAAGGAAGTGTTCACCATCATATAGTGGATGCTGAGAATATTCCCTTGTGTAGTAGTGTTTTAGTTAAAGCTTGTGGGAAATTAGTTATTATCTTGTTATTACGCTGGACACTGACACCTGGAAGTCACATGAGAGGAATATTAAAAGGCAGAACTGGTCGTAACTCAGACAGAAGAGCACTGCAATTAACCTTCAAAACTTTAATTAAATTAGATGAGCAGACAGTCTTACACTGAGATTCTGCTGAATTACATAAATTTAAAGCACTGTATGGCGCCTATAGATTTGCAGCAGCTAATAGTTATTTTCTATCAATTAATCATTTGGTCTATACGACATCAGATTACAGTAAAAAGTACCCATCATGATTTTAAGTCATTAGTCTTGTTTTGTCCAAACAATAGTTCAAAGTCCAAAAATATTTGCTATGTAATGAAAGACAAGGAAAGACAACATACCCTCATATGTCAGAAGCTGGAACCATCGACTGTTTGGTATATTTGCCTGAACATTTATTGATCTTCTGCCAATTACTTTTCTCTTGATTAAATAATTGATCAGTTGGCTAATCGTGGCATCTCTAATTGTTTTAATCCAGTCAGAGGCATGAAATGACAGAACAGTTACAGAAAACTAATATATAGTTTTCCCAGCCCTGCTTTACAGCTGAAAGCCAATACACACCCATGGCCTTCACTCACACTTGACTCTCGTCGCCTGGTTAGACTTCTGTTCAGGCTGTGTACAAACAGTGCTTCACTGACATTTCCCTCGGTGTCTTGTTGGCTTTGTTATCATTTTTATTATTACAGTATATTAACCCTCTGGAGTCAGGGTTAATGTTCTCAACTATTCATACTCCACATGCATGGTCTCAAACTCTGGATCCTTTTGTGTAGTGTGTAAAGCTGTCAGAAAAATAACACAGGAGGCTATAAAACTTTACAAATCTTTAAACACTTTGGTGACATATCATATTTTTTAAAGACATGCAAGTGTTTACGATATTGGACAACTTTTGGTTGTGTGAGGGTTAAAAATACCGTGCATTGATGATGTAACAATTTATCCATTGAATTTGGGTTTAACTGCATTGAACTATGGACTTTCATGTTTTGATTGGTTTTCAGGCACCCCTGTATTACTGCCAAGTCAGACATACTGTATCTTTCGGAAAAGATCGAAAAGTCGGACATTTCCTGTCTTAATTAGGGATGGAACTAAAGATTATTGATTAATCAACCAATTATTTTCTTGATTAATCATTTAGTCTATTAAAAGTCAAAAACTAAGTCTATAACGACTTCCCACAGCTCAAAGTGTGTCCAAAGAGTTTCCTTAAAATGCTTATTTTATTCAACCATGATGCAAAACAAGCATCAAAGCTTCATATCTGGAGAGCTGGAACCAGAAAACATTTGTCAGTTTTGCTTGCAAAATGAACAACATAAAAAAATGACATATTGGAATCTCATAATTACAATAACTGTGATGGTACGTGAATGCAGCATAATCAACAGCAGTAATTGAAAACACTTGTGTGAGTGTGTAGGACCTTTAAGTTTGTAAAAAATACGGAATAATGCAAAGGTCAGGACAGATGGCATCTTTAGACAGTCATGGTATCCCCAACATTGCTCTCACACTCACGAGTATTTTTGAATATTAACTGCTATCATGGCTGCATATGACAGGGTCTGTTTAGTGTCCCTCAGGTCCAGATGCTCTCCTGTTTTCTCTCTACCTTCTTCAAAATGCTTAAATGAGATGTAGTTCCAGCACTCTCTTATTCTGGTCTCTTATCCACATGGTGCACACCTTTATATAACAATAAATCCTAGCAATGATACCTCACCGCTGTGTGTAGCTGAAATCTCACAGACAATATAATAAACAGACAGATTGACAATTGTACGTTGGATGCAGATAAAACTAGAACTGCCCATTTCAGGCCCTAAACTGCAAATAACCAATATCCATCCTTCTCTTCTATGACTCTGCACTTACTGCAAATGACTTGTTCAAAATCTTATCTTTAATTCAGACTAACACCACAGCAAAACAACGCCCAAAACTGTACATCTTGTTCTTGGAAATATCCACAAGACTGGATCTCTCCTGTCTTTCACTGGCCTATAAAACTCACAGAAATGCATTGATTTTTTTCTCTCTCTCTGTCTGGCTGACACAACCCTGTTACTGTAGATCTTACGTTCACACAAAACTAAGCAATGCTGACTACTGGATTCATGTAAAACTAAGCATTACTGACAAGGCTCACCTGAAAACATCAAATGCACGGTTGTTCATCTGTCTGTCAAACAAAAAGAACTAGTTGGGAGCAAGGTCTTTGCCTCTGTACAAACTTTTCACCCTCGTTAGGGTTCAGAAACTGCCTCATTAGGCTTGAAACTAATTTATCCAGCACCGTCTACAACCTACTGTACCTTTACTCTCAGCAGCAGTCTGTCACTCCCTTACATCTCCTGTGGACAGCCCTGATGTTGCCTGCTGCTCTCACATCCTGGTGCACTCGGCTTAGACACATCCACAGACAGTATCTCTCCTTGAGTTACTGATGCGTTTGATCTGTCTTTCTGATATACGGATTGATTTTCTTTTCCTCGCCTTTAATTTCTCTACAGCCCCTGGGCCATCAACCTTTTTGTCTAGAAATAAACTTTGTAATAACACATGAAATATTCTTAAAATGACCAAAAAAAAAAAAGTGATGCTTAAAGTCTGTCAGTGCGCCAGAAATGAAGACTGTGTAAAGCTCAACTTAGTTTGTTTTTTTTGTTATTTTAATAGAAAACCAAAGAAGAACATAGATTAAACAGTGCATGTATGCATACGGTCCCTTTTTTTTTTTGCACAACGTATTCACTCACTGAAAATAAATGTGCATGAAAGAAAAAAATACAGCAATCTTATAAATATAGGGCCCTAAAACATCTCAAATACAGATACCAAATGCACCGAATGTAATGAGATGTTGGTTTAATATATTTGCACAAATATTCTGACAGTAAGTAATATGTCTATCCCATGATCAGTGCCATGTACTGTGAGGGTCTGGACTTCATTTTAGGTCATACAACTGCCATTGCAACTAATATACATGCGTTTCACTATTATTGCCTTTGTTATTTAAAAACTGTTAGAAGTCTTCTCTCTTTTTTTATAATATCTATTTCTAGAAAATAACTCTTGAGTTGTTCATTTTTATAATTCTATGTCCTACCTTCTTTGATCACAAACATCACAAGTAGTTTTCCTCTTTATGCTACAACATTCCAGTATACTTACTTACTTACAGGGATCGTCACCCCACTAATGTTTCACTTGGCATTGCAGTCATGACGAGGAGAGGACAAACATTTTGACCTCTAGGAAAAAAGGGAGGAGTCTGACATTGGCCACCTCTGTGCTGTGCTACTCGAGGACGGAGGAGGGAGGGGGACGCACGCAGCAGTTGGGCCGTCTGACATTTTGCAGCATTGACCTGAAAATGTTCTGCTGCCTCCTTTTGTTCTTCCTGCCCTGTCCCGGCGAGTCGACACCAGAGATCGACTTTCGGAAGGAGGTCTGGACCATCAGTTTCCTCTCTTGCTCCTTGATTTTACACTGCAGGTGGCTCTGAATGGCAAAACCAAGGGATTCTGGGTCCACAGAAGCCCCGTAAACCTCCCAAGTCATCCCTTGTTCATCCCAGACGACATCATGGACGCTCGTTCCTTTCTGCTTCCCTGACTGGTTATCCTCTTCTTTGTTCCTCTCTGGTTCTATCTTCTTTTTGCCAGAATTTGTCTCCTTCGTCAGGGCTTTGCCTCCAGCTTCCTTGCTCTTTTCTTTTGAACTCTGAGCTTTGTTTTTAGTTAGACCTGACTTGGATGTGGTGTTTGCTGCTGTTGTTGTTGGCAGGGCCTTTTCGGCCTTGGTTGTAACAGCAGCCTGACACAGTGCAGCATTGTTACTGTCAGCAGATCCAGACTTGGAAGCACCGGCTGTCTCTGGGGGTGTTCCTGATTTGAAAGCGGGAGCTTCAGCAGTGGTTGTTTTAGCTGCAGATGTCTGAGCTGCAGTTTTATGCTGGGAGTTACCTGTCTCTCCTTGGTCCTTGTGGTTGCTGTGTTCAATATTGATTTGATAAACTGGCTGGATGTTGCATAAAGCTGGCCCCGGTTCTTTAGGCTTAGCCCCTAGCCTGGCATCTTGCTGCTGGGACAGAGAGTTTAAAACCATGCCTGCATTTTGGTTGTGGCACATCTCCGCCTCGACTGTGAGTTTCTCTGACCTTGGATCAGTAGAGGTGGATAGAGAAGTCATGCTTATCTGATGGAGACCCACACCCCCATCCACCTGACAGACTACAGCCAGGCTATGCGCCTCCTCCCTGGGGACTGCACCACCACTCGGCCTGCGAGTCACAGCAAAGGGCAGTAAGCTCGGACTTGTGGCCACAGCCTTACTGGCCGTGTTAGCAACAGCTTGAACCTCCATATCATGACACTGCTTGACTGGGGTGGATGACAGGGATGAGGTCATAGTCGAAGCCTCCTTGTAGAGCTTGCAGTGCTGCTGCTGCTGCTGCAGCTCTTCAGTGACAGCTGTGTCAGTCTGGCTGGTTTCCTCACTCACCTGCCCGTATGCCGGCTTGTTTTGTATGGCCTGGGGCTGAGTGGAGGAGTCCTTCTGTGAAGACACTGGCTGATGTTTATCTGAGGAGACTTGTTGTTTCTTTGCTGGTTGTAAATCCTTCTCTGGAAAAGTTGAACTCAGATTCTTATTTATAGATGCGGCTTCTGCTTCTTTGATGTTAGATGGAGGTGTAGTAGAGCTACGTTGGGTTGTAGTTTCCACGCTTTTTTGAGGTTTGGGAGTCTCCTGCAGACTGACGGAGCTTTGTGAGGAACTTTGTGTATGATCAGGCTCTTTAGATTCCTGTGCTGTGGCAGTGTCCTTGTTTTGGGGAGTTGATATACCCCCTTTATTCTCCTGTTGGGGTGCAGATGCTGTTTGCCTTAATTCACAAGCATTGTTAAGATTTTTATTACTTGGAGAAACATGTTTATTACTGCACTCTGCTGCAGTGGCTTTGGCTGAGGATGTCAGCTTTGCACACTCTTCCTCTGCTGCACTTGGCCCTTTTATTCTGCAGTCATTGGTTCGCATGTCGACCTTTGACACTGTAGCAGCAGATGATAAGCCGTCCTTACACATTTCCTTTTCATCAGGCAGGCTTAACATTTTCATATTAGCGTTAGAATCCCTCTGGTCACCTCCTGCCTCACCCACACCTTGGCCTGTTAGAGACAGGTCTGGCATCTGTTGGTCTCCACCTGTCACAAGCTCAGATTTTGTCTGGTTTCCATTGGCCGGAACTGGTTTGTCTGACAAGGTGCTGCTAACTGGTTCACCTCCCTTGGAAGCTGTTTTTTGGGTATGTGGGATGGTGTTAGTGGGAGCAGCAGTCAGGGATAAGTTATCCTGTTTGTGGTCCGGAGATGTGAGGGTGGGTTTTGGACAAACCTGTGAGAGTTTGAGGTTGGGCTCTTTAGTCCAGTTGGCATTAGACTCCTTATTGCCCAGCGTGTCCACCACAGCCAGCTGAGGCACCATCTGGACTGTCACTGTCCTTTTTGGGTTAGTTCCCATGTTGGATTCACAGTTTCAGTCTTTAAATATCGTCGTAATCCAGATCAAGATGAAAACAGAATATGCTACCAGTTGCTTTGGCGCAAGTTCCTAAAAGAGGAAAACAGAAATAGATTTAGTTTATTTAAAATTATTGAATGTCACTTTTCATAATTAAGACCAAAATAATCAGAACACACACATATAGTAGTGCTCCAGGGCGAGGTGATCATTATATAAGTTGCATCCAGCGTTCAACATAGTATCTTTGATTAGTTATTAACATGCATTTAAATAATCATTGTTAGATTAAAGAGCCAAGCACAAGAACAATCAGTGATGTGTTTTTGCCTAATTTAATCATTGCTTTGGATAAGATTAATATATGTAATTCAAAGTCTAATTTTCAAATTGATCTTAACATACGGTCTTAATAACAACGCTGTATGTCTAAATCATGGTAATGTGGAGCGTATGGAACTACACTTTTTAAAAAGCTGTGTTTCTTTGTAATGAATGCCTGCCTCTGTAATGCTCTTTGAAACATGCTTGTGATAAAAGCCTACAGAAATAAATAAACTGACAGTTAGAGCAGGATTCAACCAATTCTGAACACATGTCATCTTCTTATTTTCTAAACCTTGATTAGAGAATTTAAATATATTTAAAAATGCTTGGTCGAATTGTATGAGTAGTAAAATAAATAAATAAATAAATAACTGAAGGTAATCCCTAAAGAGTATGCAAAAATGCTGCATCACATCAAAGCAAGGTTTATGAAGCAAAGTAAGCAAAGCACAGAAACAAGACTTTGACATATGTAGGCTTAAAGTGCTTACAGATAAAGGATGACATTTTTTAATTTAAAAACTGTGGATGTTCCTCATTTAGTGGAGTTTCATCTTACCTACCAGTCTTGGCTGGTTTCAGAACACCTCATCATCCAAATCTCATCTGAAGTCATCTTAAATGCCAAGAATAATGAGTGTTACAGTATATAAAGAGATACCTGATGAATCCTTCTCTTATTGCTCATGAAGAGGCTGAACCATATCATTTTTGGTGATGTGTCAGTGAACTTACTGTTCTCTGATAAATGGCATACTAGACAACCTAAGACACTGTTATTCAAATCTTGTCTAAAAAAATGATATAATTGAATTGAAATATAAAGTATCTCGGCATAATTATTTCAGACAAACCAATATTATTTTCATTCCTTAAAAAAAAGAGAGAAAAAAAAAGGATACTCCTGCAAAATGCCAGATGAGATGAAAGTGCATCCTGAAAACAACCACAATCTCTCATTTAAAGTTGAACCATCTTTTCTTTGTCATTGGCTTTATTGTGAAGAATAAACAGAGAATCTTGCACGATGTGTCTTTAGATCCTTTTTCATCCTGAGATCAATCTAGTCTAAAATCTAGGCAGTGACCTACAGTTTCACAAATCTCTTTATCCCAGGCCTGATGAATGACTCCATCTCAGTCTGTCTCCTAAATGTGTTAAAGCATCTGGGCCAATTCGGCAAGTAATGTGCCAGCACTCAGCAGACGTCTGAAATATCTGATCCTTTGGAGTCAGACAAAATGAATTGTTCCGTGAGCGAGACTTTTCATTACACATAACAGCCTACACGTATGAAGAGGAAGCAGAGACATCAGTGTATAGTTTAGTGGTCCCCGGAGAGTTGGCCATGTCCATTGCAGTGACAGTATTGATGATAATCCATTCGGCATAATGTGCAGTTCATCTCAGTGAAACTAATGTTAAACTCAGCCTCGTCCTTTGGGTTAATTCCCTTTCTCACGACAAGTCTCCACATTGCTTCTCTTTAGGAGGGAAACAACAAGCATAATTGATTTTATACTAATCAGGTCACACTTATGTCTGCATTACTCAAAAAATAAGTCCTTCCTATCACCAATTTAAACGACAGAAATCAATATCTTACTGTACTTGGTCACCTCAAAGCATAGTTTTTGGAAGAGACTTGAACAATAGTAGGTTACTGTTACCAGTCATGGACAGGGGTTGCCCATTTGTGTGTGCTCTCCCTCTATGCGTCTGCCTGTCTGTTATCAAAGTGCAAATATTTATGGATAGCATGCCCTGACCATATTTAGATATTATACAATTAAACCACCCTGGTGTCTGGGGCTTTTACCCCTGCAGCAGTTTTAGAAAATAACAAGAGGAGTGCATGCAGAATTTGAATTGATGCAAAACGGCAAAGATAACATACATTAAACTGATGCACACGACCAATTAAAATCTTTGTCATGTGTCATAGCCTGCATTTGCAGTCCTGTCCCACCCCAGCATCTCAGAGGCCACTGATGTTTGCTGATTTGCTTTGACCTTGCGAACGAATTCAACATCTGACACGAAGGAAAGCACCGTCTGGTGAAAAGAGGAGGGAGGCTTACCTTGAGAGACGCTTTATGTCCCGTACCGTGGGGTGCCGTTGGCGCGTCCGTGTCAGTGAGATGAGGCTAAATCCTGGGAATGAATATGGAAAATCAGCCCTGTGTCGGTGACACCAAGCCACGCCTTCCACCACAATATGGGTCTTGGAGGTATCGATCCTCCACAGCAAAGCGCAAAATTCAAGCACCCTGAGTGACTGAACGTGCGCAATGAGTCATCGCTGTCCGACCGATGGATGCTGTCCCCCGGCTCTTTATCAGCGCTGCCTCATGCTTTGAAAAAGTGAACCTTTTGCACAAAATGGACCTCTCATGGTGCGTGCCATCCCAGGCTGAACTGGTCCAGGCAGCACAGGCAACGTGGTGCAGCAGAGTGAACCAGATGAATGGATGAATCGCTGAGAGGATGAGAATGGAGGAGGTGCTGTATCAGCCGCAGGCAGCTACAGGAGGGTCACTTGCACTTGAAATTGATTACTTTTAAATCCTAGTCAAATGGTCTTTGACTACTAGAGGAAAACCAATATTCCAAGAAGATGGATAGTTTATTTTGCTATGGCATTTTTTCAGGGATGGATTTATGAGCAGACCCAAGCCTGTGTCCCTGTGTGTTGTGTCTGTTTACAGGGCTGTATTAAGGTACATCATGTTTCCAAATAGGATCAGTTACTTTTATCACATGAATCTGGAATCTGAATATGAAGAGATGTTCCTCTGTGGTTTGAAGAGGTCTGCTGAATAAATGATCTTTATAATTAACAGATTTTGAATTCTCCCTTTAGAGCGTCAAAAAAGTTGTTATAAAAATGTGTTATGTGGACAAAAAGGTTGCAGTGGGGAATCTAATGTAATGTCATTTATTTTTCAAAACAGATAAAATGGCACAATACGTTTCGGTGAATCGTTAATATGCACTTTCTGCTTTACCACTGCAGACAACGTGCATTTTCTTTGTATGAGCAGTGGCATAGGTGGATAAGTGGCTCCAAAACTGGAGGTGAAGAGATGCCCAAGGGGCTACAAGATAAATCTGAGGGATCACATGATGAAAAAGGAGATAATATGAAAAAAAAATCATACTCTGCAAAAAGTATTCTGTTTATATTTCAGACTATTCTCTAATCTTTGTTTTTTACTCATGAAGTTCTGCCCCAGAAATGATAAAAAAAAAAAAAAAACAATCTGAGGGGAAGCAATCGCTCAGTTTGAAGTGACTGAAGCTCACAGACGTGCACACACTGTGATGATTGGTTTGTTTGCCTTGCTTAAGAACCCAAAAAGCCTTGATTTACTGACACAAACTGTTCTGGAAACAGTGGCCAACGAGCCACAATCTCAAGAAAGTATGTAATTCTGGGCATGGCTTTTCAGCCTACACCATATTATCCTATCATGTTTGTATCTAAACCTAACCTCAGACAACAGTCATATCATTTTTGTAAAACTCATAAGCATTTTGGAAGGAGCTGACATGATGACATCGAGCGGACAAGGGTGCAGGATCAGAAAAAAGCTTGTATTGGTCACTTTAGGTAGTGACAACAAGGATCCTTGCTTTGGTTTTCTCTTAAAAATGTGGTGGTGTGATGGTCCTATCAGCCCTTACCAACTCTGGCCACCCCATGGACTCTCGACCTCTATAGGTAGAAAAGCTGGAAGAGAGACAACAACACAACATTCAGGGTCTTCAGTAATATCAGCTTTATAGTCTATTTCCTAGCTCATTCTAAAATAATCTCTCACTGTTATTATAATCTCAGTGGTTACTTTGGGGACTCAGTTTTCAAATATAGCCTGGTTCTGAGACAGGAGCTCCTCTTGGAATGCAGTCACTGTATGGGATAAACCTCCTGCCTTAAAAAGCCCAGAGGGACTGATTAGGTGAGAAAGAAGACTGCGACTTAATTACAGGCGAGTGCACCACTGGTGAGCAGCTCCACATGGGCTGCATGCATTGCTCATGTGCTGATACGCCAGACTTGTGCTTCAGGGTGGTGGCTGGTTGCCAGTTTGGAAAGGTGGTAAGGACACGGTGGGAGAAAATAAATATTATTTAATAATAAAGATAGGTGGTCTGTCGCCACCATTTTAAACTGTGGCCAGACGCAGTAACACAGAAAGTATAAGTTAATTTAATGGTATCTATGGAATATTGGAAACCTAATGCCAAGTATAAGTGTCATAATATGATTTGTCTGTTTTAAAAATAGATTTTGAATTCAGTTTAATCTAATGCACACGCAGTCATATTGTGGATCTGGCATCATCTTGTGGTTCATTTGGGAAAAGCAAAGACTTTGCTGGTCCCAGTTCAGTTAGCTGAAATCAATCTGATCCACAGACAATAATCACTTTATACAAAGATACTGTCAGTTTCAGTTTTTCTGTAATGAGTACTTAAGTCAGGATGAGTCAGTGGGTTCACAATTTGGATCTATCTAGCTAATGCTTAATATAAGCCTACACATTTTGTGAACCATAAGCTGTGTGTATACATCTGCAGCTGTGAAGCATGCCATATACCAGGAGTCAGCAATTAGGTTCAACCGTGAGCCAGTTTTTTCAGCTTTGTTCAAGGGGGCACCAACATAGTTGTACAGGTGCTGTGCCCAGATGGAGGTCTGTTGGGGATTTTGGAAACTATAAGTCATGTTTTTATTTCCCCTGGCCTCATCAATTCCATCTTCAGTCAGACAGACTTATATTGCCTATAGCTGGTTCAAACTGCAGCAGTGAGACTCCTCACTGGTACCAAGAAGAAAAACTGTATCTGCCCATGGCCAAGTACCAGGTTACAAGTCTGAACTGCTCATCTCCTATCCCACCATACCCCTCACCTCTGCTGACCAATCACTGCTTTCCATTCCACACCCCCAGTTAAAATCCAGGGCTGACTGAGCATTTTCTCTTGTTGGCCCTAAATTGTGGAATAGGTTGCCACACACTGTTAGAGTCCCCCCTCCACTGAAGTCTTTAAAGCCCATAAAGAGCCATCTAGTTTCTTTAGCCTTTAAGCCATCATCAAGAATACCTGACTGGTCATACTGTTTCTTATTTGTGTTTTGTTCTGTGCAATGCTGTTGTTGTTTATGATTTTATCCAGATATTCTTTGTTTTTATCAATTTACTTATATCCTCTTAATTATGTCGAGTTTTTATTTGATTGTTATCATCAATAAAATAATCTCACAATTTCATCTATCACTAAAGCCTTTTGGTCAACATTTGTTATTTTCAATTGTGCTCTATAAATATACTAACTTGTATCTGGTGACATATTACCTTTTTCTATCAGTTAGTGAGGGCTAAGGGTTACAGTGAGGGTTACAGCAGATAATGTTATATATATTATAGCTCTTATACACAAATATATGCTTTGTGTTGAATTACAAGACATGAAATGTAATTGACAGGTTAACCACACATATTAGCAGTGACGTGTTTCATACTTATCAGTACACCCTTTCTGTTAGACAGCCACTCATTTGTGTTTGAGATACAAATCATTGATTATTATTAGATGTTGTGGTATCTCTTTATTGGGACTTACCTCTTTACAAGAATTAGATTTGTAAAAGGGTTTTGATGCAAACTATAAAAGAGAAAATTTCACATTTTGTTGGGGATTTCAGCATTATAGTTTGAGGGCTAGATTGGCCTCCTTTTGTGCAGACGTGTACAGACTGCTGTACGTTGGGTAGACAGTAGATGGCGCAGTAAAAGCGTTCAAAACATACTGTCTTTGAAATCGCTGTCGTGTGCTCAGTTCAAAGACGTCATGTCATTCTGCGGTCACAATAAATTCAACCCAAGTTTCTCGAAGTAAGCAATGTCAACATTTTGGCAGAAATTGTAAACTCCCCACTCATCAAAAAACTATCAGCAATCCACATCCAATTTTTAAATGTAGGGATACATGTCATTCCGATGCAAGAAAATGCTAGGATTGTAACTGCTATTTGTCCGGTGTGACCATGAACGCATCAGAGCCAGACTGTTGTCAAGAGAAACGTTGCTAATCTCCACACACGGCTTGTAGCTTCAAAGTGAAGCTAAGTTTGGGTTTATCTTTGTCTGGCAGTATTGTCTCTGCGACAGTACGGTAAGATTAACTTAATATTCTCGCTAAATTCCATAAAGCACACCGATACTTTCGACGTAACCTAATCTAGGTTAACGTAATGTGGCTAGCTAACAGTTAGACGGATACAATGACAACCTGTTGTTTGAACCGGTTAACTGTCAGCTCGGAGTTTTGAAGCTAGTTACCTGGAATAGTTTATTAAAACCAGGGGTGACCAGCTAGTAGCTTTCAGTAATATGTTGTGGTTAAATTGCTTCCTAAGGCTCCACGAAACTCACCAAATCTTTGTAAACTGAATGGTTACGTTTGTCTGAAGTTAGCATTAGCGTTAATGCTAGCTGTAACAATGCTATTGTTTTGGCTGTCTGAATGATCGCTAGCTTTCTCCTTTTATACGTTAACATTATGCTCTCTTAGAGTAGGCTTTGTGTTTGTATTTTAATGGTGACCAACTGTATTATAATAGTCTCAACTGCTCCAAACTGTGGCCATTGTCTTTATAACACAGACAGACTAGTATCGGTCTTATTCATAATGGTGACAGTGGTGGAAAGTGTAGAAGTACATTTACTCAAGCACTGCACCTAAATAAAGTTTAGAGACACCAGAACGTACTTTGTATTTCTGTTCCATTACATTTAAGAGGAAAGTGTAGTTTTTCTTTGTTTTTACTCCACTGTATGATTCAACAGCATAGTTACTATAGCATCTAGATATACAGTCCTACATTTGCAGTAAATAAATAACTCACTGAGAAATGTAAATTACCAAGTGCCCAGCTTCTCTTAAATAAAGTCTACTTTTATGATACCTACAAGTTTCAGGTTTTTTAGGCGTTAATTAAATTCTATGTGTTCATACACAAATAATGAGTACTTTGGATTCTTTAAATACATTGGATAATGGTACTGACAATACTGTGTCTGAATATGGTTTTACTAATAAAGCCTATTTGGATTTTTTAAGTTTGATTAATTATTTAAAATTTGACACCAGGACTTTTACATCTACAGAGTATTTCTACAAAGTGGTACACTTTGCAAAGTGCTTGTTCCACTGTCTGTAAGTATTTGTAACAGCGTTTTACATGGATGTTCAACCAGTAACCAGTATGTAAGCAGAATATTCAGAAATATTCATTAGTTTTGGTCAGGTATTAACTTATACTTTATACTGCTGAGTAGTCTCTGATCCATTGCTTGGCTGGCCATTTCCATGTGCCATGTACCTCTGATGTAGGACCATTTATCAGTGAGGCTGTCTTAGTTATTCACCCATTTCAAGCATGTTAACAAAGTGACTTACCAGACAAATGTTAAAATATGTATTAGATTGCTTATTGGACTGTCAGATTTGTTTTCTTGGATTCCTTCCAGTGTTTGATGTCTTAATTTTTTGTGTTTCAGAAAATGTTTGGGTATATCTGGCAGTACGTCTACACATCCTTTCTGAGATACTGGCTGAAGTGGCTCGTCAGACAGGTGACAGGGAAATGTGAACTACAGAGAATATGCTCTGGATACAAGCAAGGGGCAACAAGGACAACAAAAGCAGGTGAATTAAATCAACCTAAATCTGGTCTACTTTTGCTACCTAGTATTCATGTTTTTCAATTATATTCATCTCCCTCCTGTGTCCTATTGTAGAATACTCCATTCGGTCATCTAAGAACAAGGTAAGAAAATGTTACCATTGTTAGCTGTCAGTTTTTTGGTACATAATTTACTTACCTTTTAGGTTTAGTTTTTAGACTTCAGTGGTTGTGTTTTAAGAATAGCTTTCAAAATAATTTGATATATTTATTGGTAATGGAAATAATTGTGAGTTGCATATGTACAGAAGTACATTGCTCTTACAATGCAAGAAAAAAGAATGGAACAGATTACATAAATGAAGTAAAATATAGTTCTAGGCTGCAACATATAGACACACAATCAAGCACAAGCATAAATCCCCAAAAGAGGCAACACAGTCATAACTACAATTTCTTATTGTGCATGCTGGGATTGGATAAAATTACAAGATAAACTCTGTCTGGAAATGCTGCCTTCATATCAGACACTCAAACATCACATTAAAAATGTTGCATGATGAATGTTATTGTTTTAAATAGTCAAGTTTTATCTCTCACATGTCCCTTGGGTCTTATTTTGTTGTGTTAAATGTGATTGTTGTAAATTAATGATGTGTGTTCTTATGTAATTATGTGAAACTTATTATTGTTGCCATTTTGGCAGGTCTCTCTTATAAAGGAGATGATGTTTCTCAAGACACTTTGTAGTTAAATGAATAAAGAAATATCATATTCAGTATAAATAATGTAGTAAGTGATAACACAGGTTGTTTGATCAAAATGGGAAATAGTCATGAGTTCTGAAAACACACACCAGAGTCTTTTCTTTCACCACAGTCTCGCTATGATGGCTGCAATGAAAAAAGACCGTAAGACGGCCAGCAGTCTTTGTTGGGTGGATCTCAGGGCCTTAACTATGTTAAGAGGGTCAGACTTTGGAGGTGGAAGCCTGATTAATTGGAGGTAATTTTCAAACTTTGTGGGCTCACAGAGAAGTCTAAAGGAGACACCATTTGCTGTGCTACTGACCTCTTCATTATCTTTTAGGCAGTTGAATGTGTGAAGCCCAGTAAAGACATATCCTGTGATCTTAATCAGTCTTTATCTTTCACTACACTTGCCAAGCTTAGATGAATTGACTCCACTTGTAATTTATGGTTACAGCTAGGTAAGCATTTTCTAATCAACAGTCCAGTTCAGTGTGGAAACTGAAGTGCTTGGTCATGTTTTTCATTGTCACTGAGCTTGACATTGAGAAACATTTTTTCACTGTGGTTGACAGCATAGATTATATAGCAGCCACTGTGCCAGTTTTCTGTCTGGTATCATTATTTCTCTGCGGCTACCTCCTCACTCTCCTGTGCTTTCTTCCCCTGTAGATTTTAAGAGGAGCTTTGGAAACCAGCAAGGATAAATTAGAACAACGTGTGGATCAAATTATGAAAGAGAAGAATGTCAAGCCCCAGAAAGATCCCCTGTAAGGGTACATCATATCTGCTAGTTTGAATTTGACACCTGCAGCTCTTTCATTGTAATCATATTCAGTTCAGTGTATTCAGCCCAGTCTCCCTACTTTTCAAGGTTCAAGGAGAGCCTGCACGTCTGTCTGCTACAAATAACAGGATACAGCAGTCTGTATATAACTGTGGAAGACTTGAGGAAGGAAGTCTTCAGCTCGGAGAACGCAGAACATGAGGCCATGCTTTTGAAGGTACGTATGTGTTCCTGCTTTTGGATCCATACATTAGAAAAAGAATAAAGCAGTTGCTGTTTATGTTTTAGCTACATTGATGCTATTCCCCAAAACAAATAAGGATACATATGTCCAAGGTATACATACACTCACCAAACACCTGTACACCTGCTTATTCATGCAATCCTATCAGACCATCATGTGGCGTCATCATTAAACACCAGAATGGGGGAAAAAATGTGATATCAGTGATTTTGATTTGGCATGATTTGAGCATGGTTTGATTATTTATGAAACTACTGATCGCCTGGGGGTTTCACATGCAACAGTTTCTAGGGTTAACTTGGAATGGTGCCAAAAACAAGAAACATCCATTGAGCAGCAGTTCTACAGACAGAAAGCCAGACCGTTTAAAGGTGATAGAATGGCTACAGTAACTCGGATAACCACTTTTTTTTTATACAACTGTGGTAAGCAGAAAAGCATGAGGTGGATGGGCTACAACAGCAGAAGACGACATCAGGTTCCACTCTTGTTGGCCATGAACACAAATTTCTGCTGAGGCACACAGATGACCAAAAGAACAAATGCACAGACATATGTCATCAGCAGCATGAATCCATGAACCCAACCTGCCTTGTGTCAACAGTCTGGCTGGTGGTGGTAGTGTAATGGTGTAGGGAATGTTTTTTTTAGCGCTTTGGGCCCCTTAATACCCGTCAATCATGGTCTGAATGCCACAGCCTATCTGAGTGTAGTGCTGACCACGTGCATCCCTCTGTGGCCACAGTTTAACATCTCCTGGCCTCCCCAGTCACCAAATCCTGAATCCAGTAGAACACCTTTGGGATGTGGTAGAAAAGGAGATTGGTAGCATGAACGTGCAGTTGACATATCTGCGGAAATGAAGTGATGCAGTCACGTCAACATGGAGCAGAATCTCAAAGTTTCCAACATCTCGTGGAATCCATGCCACGAAGAACTGAGGTTGGTCTGAGAACAAAGGGGTGAACTACCCTGTATTAGTATGGTGTTCCTAATAAAGTGTTTGCTTAGTTTATGTCTGTGCCTTTGTTCTTTTGGTCAATCCTTTGTGAGTCTTGGGGGCTACATGATTACTAAAATCAGGTTTATAATTTTTGTGAAATTTGAGAAATGTATTAACTTGATTTTGGTTCACCAGCACAATAAAATAGAAAAGACATGACAGTATTGAAAGTATTGATTATGAATCCCAAATGTAGTGCACAAAATCACATTTTGAATCATTGTGCCTGTTTTTCAATACAATCAAAATGTGTGACACTAAAAATATTTGTGCCGTCAGCTGTGGGACCTGTTGATGCCAACAGTCAAACTGGAATCGAGGATAACCAAACAGTGGGGCGATATTGGATTCCAAGGGGATGACCCCAAGACTGACTTCAGAGGGATGGGCTTGCTGGGACTAATCAACCTTGTGTGAGTACCCAATAAATGATAATGAGACATACAGTAAAATAAGAAAGCATAGTTCATATCTGTACTGTCCATTACAAAAGGCTTTTACTCTGATCTCAGATGGGAAGCAGCTCGAAAACTATACCATTAAAGAGTGAGACAGCACACATAAACAAATCTGACCAAGCAAGCCAATCTTATTCCCCAGCTGTGTGCCATTAGGAGCCTGAAAACACAATCCTGAAATTGCAAGAGAATCCACAGTCAACTGGACCTGTACATACTTGCACCTTACTTACATACTTACAGCCCAGTGAAATTGCAGCAAAGGTTACTTATCGCTATTTCACAGGCTCATTGATGAGAAAAAAAAGAAACTCTTCTTCCTCTTACTGGAAAAAAGCTGCATTTTCAAACCTTTTACGATCAGTGTCTAAAAATTAAACTGGACATTAAACAGGACACATACGTGAAGCGTCACAGATCCTTGTCAATAATTTATCTGTGGAGTCTTGCATTTGTGTTTACGTCTTGCCTTTCACCTCACATGTAGCCTATATTGTAACTTTCTGTCATTTTCCAAAACTTTTCACTTTTCATTACAGATAACTACTTTTGAATAATACTAAAAAAGTGGTCATAGCTATGACTATGGAAAAACAGTGATGAGTATGTAGGGTACAGGTAGACTACATACATAAAATAACAGGTGATAATTGTGTCAGACATGTTTGCTCTCATTAAACTCTGACAAAAGAACGGATGAACATGATTTAGTCAACAAAGGTTGTACTTAATAAAATGACACCTCAACAATGATATCCTTATAAAAACTAGTAGATCTTTCTTTGTAAATGTTTGCGATTATCACCAGTGAGTACATGTTTACTGGTTAATACGGTCTCATCCACAGTGAGTAATAGTTATACCATACTGTTTGCTGTCTGCAGTTTCTTCAGTGAAAACTACACAGAAGAGGCTCGTCAGGTGTTGTCACATGCAAACCATCCTAAACTGGGGTAAGAGACATTCATATATGAGCATCACTGTATTTTCCATTGGTGTTGTTTGAGTTTAATCTTTTTGAAATCACTAGCATCGACTTTCTACTAATTCTGAGTACTACCTGTCTAGGTATTCATATGCCATAGTTGGGATCAACTTGACAGAGATGGCCTACAGCCTCCTGAAGAGTGGTGCTTTGAAACCACATCTCTACAATGCAGTCCAGAGCACTCCTGAGCTCCAGCACTTTCATCAGCTGTACTGTGAGTAGATCCAACATCAGTCTTTATTATATCCACCTCTGATTCATTATTATTATTATACAAATACAAACCAACATTTCCTAAGAGACTGAAATTATGTTTTAAATGCATGTGTCTTCTCTTCTAGGTTACCTGGCGTATGAATTTGATAAGTTCTGGGTGGCAGAGGAACCAGAGAGCATCATGCAGTTCAATCAGTACAGAGAAAAATTCCATAATATAGTCCAGACACATCTACAGGACCCTGATGTGTCCCTCACATTGACTGTCCGTTCTAAAAACTAACATAAATAAAGGATGATAAAGGATTAACACGACCCCCTGAATTCTCCACAGCCCCTGACATTGTTTGATCAGGCATAGGAAGCCACGAAGGTTCAGCATAACAGCTGAAAATTAAAAATATTCCTCAAACATTCAAACAAATTAATTCTCTTATGTTTGGTTTTGTGATTCATCAGTCGTGTTCTGCTCTTGTTTTAGTCATACTAAATTGTTTTAAAGTAGAGCACAAATCTGACCACCCTATACCTCAGAAATGACCATTCCAGTGGTTGATTGTCCTTCATAAAGGGGAAATGAGAGCTGCTGCAGAGGACTGTAGTGATAATAATAGCTCTATCTTTTGTGAGCATTGAAGCACTTTCAGTAAGCAAGCAGCCAAATTGTTGCAGTTTACAGACAGTTATTGAAAAATGGTGATGAACCACCACTTTTTATTTTGTCTTGTTTGTATTTGTTTTCACACTTGTCCTGCTCAGGAATTTGATATTTATGTCCACAGACCATGACTAAAACTCAATGTATGGAATGAATTCCATTGTGGTGTTCTCATCTTAAAAGTTGTGCATGGTATAATGTCCCAAATGATTCCATTAATGCCATCTGTATTATGTAATGATAATGATGTGGAACTCAAAATAGTTGTTTTGCCTCTCTTTTCATAAATTTGTATGTCTGAAGACTGATGTTGCATTTTCATTACCTGCTATTTTTATTCTGTGATTTGCTTTTGAGGAAGTTATGTAATGATTAACACATCTTGCTCGAAGTTAATAAATACACATTTTGATGTTTTGAAATGTGTTTGGTGTCCATGTGTCAAAGGGCAAGTTAAAGAAGCAAACACAGTGTCTGTAAAACACGGCAAATATATTTAGGATTTACATAAACATGTTTTACATTTTATTGTAGCACCAGTATTATTTTGAATATAAAGGTGTACAGGTTTAAGCTGCCTGAAATGTAGAACTGGCAGATTTAGATGTACAGGTCTTAAAGTGCAAACTCAACTTCCCAAAGGAGGTTATTACCAGCTTGTTTTCATATCGTTCACTCCCACAATGTGGAATGGGCTCATTATGGTAAATTATAAATATAAAAGGAGAACTTTATGTCTTTTTATACACAAGTTCAATAGAGTAGATAGTCCAATACTCCGTTTCCAGCAAAGGACCGTCTTCTTTGACACCACAGGACAAGAAGGTTGTTGAATAAAGCTAAAATGAGAATTGATATTCGTTAGGTTTCTTCATCCAATGTTTTTTCAGTCAAACTTCGAAACACTAAACTCAGTTTGGGGCCTCGATCCTCTTCTTTGTGACCATCATGGCCCTCTTGATTTGCTCGAATGAGACAAACATCACAACATTCCATGATCCCAACCTCAGAAATGAGGGTACAAATCTACAACAAAAAAAAAAGACAAGAGGTTAGAGGCTTGTGGGGAAAAACGAAGGTGTTGCTTAAATAGCTCTATTTGTCTTTATGGATTGACCTCAACTACAGATACTCCTTAAACAAACAAGTGAGTGCTGGGGTCAGACAGAGAGAGCTTACCCCTTGTAGAAAGCTGTTGGCCCCTCTTTTGTCAACATGGTCCAGGCACAGTTGATAGCGCTCTTGTACTGGCCTGGTGGTGAGTTCATGTACCTGGTCTTCACCACATCCACTGGGGAAGCAATCACTGTGGTAACAAAGCCGGCGCCAAACGCAGATACAAAGTGGCACGGCAGATTGTCTGTGGAGAGAGTTGGAAAAGATTGTTAACCAAACAAGTGAAAAAAGACAACAACCAATGCTCTTTTGTTCTTAGCTGAACAGTATAAAAATTGGTGTCAGCACATTATGTAATCATGTGAAAGGGGCAATATAAATAATAGAGATAAATGTCTTATTAACTACTATATTTACAGCACTCTGGAGGGAAAATACATGATGTTCTGTACCAGCATGTGTACTGTTATCAGCTGTGGAGTAGCTGAAGGGGTGAGAGGGTGTGTGTATTTCTGCCCAATGAGCTGTCTCTCTGGCGATGGTGTGTGTGTGTGTGTGTGTGTGTGTGTGTGTGTGTGTGTGTGTGTGTGTGTGTGTGTGTGTGTGTGTGTGTGTGTGTGTGTTACTGCAGCTCAGACCCATGCATGAGTGCTCTTTCTGACCTGACAACAGGTTATGTTTAAGGATGGCCTCCTTGATCAGATCGTATGTCACCAGCTCTGTGCAGTTGACCAGTGCATTTCTTGTGATGTTGGGCAGCGTGCCTAAAGAAGCCAGAAAAGACATTGATACTTTACTAATCAGTCACAAGGGAACTCTGGGTCTCATTTTCATGACCGGTTAGAACCAAAAAAGAGCAACACATTTTGAAGCATGCTTTCTAAATGACACCTTTCCAGAGTCCACGTAAGCCCTCATTTTGGAAGATGTGTTTGTAGGCCTGCATGGTGCCGTTGTAGCGACGAGCCACACCGTTCAGGTTCATCTGGGCTTGGAATCGAACCTTGACTACATCAGTGGGTTGTGCAAAGGACACTGCCATGGCACCTGTGGTGCAGCCGGCCAGGATACGAACCAATACACCCGCGTCTGGAGAAGAATAGACAGGAACAACCATTGGTAGACTGTAAGTGTGTTTACTCAAGTTCTGTAATTAAGTACAATTTTGATGCACTTTACTTTCACAGATTTAACTGCCAGTTACTTTTTGTATCAAGATTTTATATGTACAACATATGATCAGATTATACAATGAAGATGTATTAAATGACCCAACAATATATAAAATTGTTTACAACAATAGAATGTTGATTACATGTTACAGTATATCATAAAGGACCTTGCATGTACTTTAAAAGTACTGTAATCACTTACTGTCTTTTCCACCTGTGTAGAAGTTTTTGACATTGTCATAGAGGCCGATTCTGATGGAGGCGAAGCACACTTGTCTCTGCAGACCGGCTACCAGCCCGTTGTACAAAGACTTGGGCCCTTCTGTTCGGATCATGGTGGTGATTGTCCCAAACACCCCTCTGTAACGGATGCCTTCCACTGCTTTCTGCTCTCCCTGGATCTGGGGTCACACATTGTACTCAAGGCTAAAACCAGCTTTCCAGAAGAAAAGTAGATAACCTAAATGGTGCAACGTGTAGCTATGCAAGTGTCAATGAGCAGAATTGATTTAGGGGTGTCTAGGTGGACAAAGCTGAAAGTCAAGCTGGTCAGTCTATAGTAGCCAGCATCACACTGTGTTCCTAAGTAGTTTATAGCAAAACTGGAGTAGATAAATACCAAAGATGAATGGTTGCTTTTTTTATTTGTGAGTATTACTGAACAGATACCTGTAGTCTGACTTTGGCTGTGTCCAGTGGAAATGTGATAATGTCAGCTATACATGCTGCTGCTCCAGCACTCGCCATCTTCACCCCCAGCGGAGGGGGAACATCTGAAGGTTTAAATCCAACCATGGTTACTGCTGCTGGTTACAGACACACACAGGGACACGTGGAAAGTCAAATCAGTGTCAGACTCTCTTGTAGAAAACCACACTATAAACTTTAACCGCGCATACCAATCCTTCATTTTTTAAACTGCAGTGTCAGTGAATAAAGATACGGTTTATGAGTCAACAGTGAAAGAGGAGATTAATGATAAAAATGTAACAGATACTTACACTTTCTAAAATTTAAGGTTCCTTTTGATCCTTGGTTGTTTGTTACCGGGCGGTATTTGATAGACCAGATTATAATCCATAAAGGGCCCCACTTCACAAAAAGGAAAGAAGCATCCTTTGCTCTGTATTTATATATTTTCCGGCTGGCTTCTTTATGACATCCACAGAGAGGCGTTACTATATACTCCTGTGCGCCGGGGTCAAACCAAAGTCCACTGACTGTCAGAAAGTCAATGTTCAATTTACCCCACAGTGCAGGCACCTTTCACAAAAACAACTGTTTTACTTCCCCTTTCTGTGACTCTAACTTCAGTATCTTTTCATCCAAATTGTGGAATATTTCCAAGTTTCTATAAACTATTATTAATATTTCTAAACGTCATTTTCTTGTCTTCAAATATAATCAACACTATATCAATATTCACATTCACATTCAGTACATTAAGCAGACTTTAGAAATATCAGCACATTTTTCCGTCTGCCACTGACTTAATATTAAGTAATTATTTACTTGATTAGACCAAGTGTCTGCGCTTGACAACAGTCATGATAAAACACTATCAGTCAGATGAATGGGAGGCTTGCATTTGCTCTGAGCCAATGACAGAACAGGTGTGTGAATGACGGGGAAAGTGTTTGGAGCTGACAGTCTGTTATGTCAGACTTTACAGCCAAACCTCACATTGCCCTTTCACTTTTGCAGTAGAGTTGTTGTATCATGCAGTAAGTGCCCATATGTTCATATAATCCCAGTTATATACTATTGTCCATTTATGGTTTCTAATGAGTGGTCACAGTCAGACACTTTTTGCATGTTTGTGAAAGTGCAAACAGATTTGCGGGGGGAATAAAGGTGGGAGAGTTGTGACGTGAGCTGGTGACCAAAGGTCATTATGGAGCAGATAAGAACTTTGCATCACACCATGTTTGGCCTCTCAGCAGTTTGGCTGTTCTGGTGCCTATTTCATAATATCTTGCCCTAAATCTAATGTTATACTTTGCGGGGATTATGGGAAAATTTTACTTTGGGAAGAAGAAAAAGAGAAGAAGAAATGTAACGTGGAAATTTGCCCTCATTCCTAAATACACTTTGTAAGGTACCTAGCTAAAACTAATGTAGTGTAATGCAACAGTCCCGAAATATTTTGAAAATTTTGATTCGACTGTAACAGATTCAACCGTTTGTGGTGCTGTTGAATTGTACTGGCAGTCACTTCTAGTAGTTGTCTGTTTGATACAAGCAATGTGGATTTTTTAAATATTAGAAACACCTCTCAGTATAACCTGTGTGAAGGTAGGATTTATTGCAGTTGTTATTTAGACTGAATTAGTTTATCTAGGTGTATCTTGTTATCTGTCTATATAGCTCTCATTTTTTAATGACAATAATAAACAAAATGGATTTTGTGCTAGACAAAATTAAAGCACCAATGAAGTAGCTCCAGAGCTCCTCAGTGTCCCATGATTTATTTTCATTTATATTTAATTATATACTAATATTCTCATAAATGTATTACTGCTTATTATTTACTTTGTTGGAGGATTCTATGGCATGAGAGGGATGTTTCGGCTATTATTATTATTATTATTATGATTATTACTATGATTACACTGAACAAAAATATAAATGCAACACTTTTGTTTTTGCTCCCATTTTTCATGAGATGAACTCAAAGATCTAAAACATTTTCTATATCCACAAAATAACCATTTCTCTCAAATATTATTCACAAATCTGTCTAAATCTGTGATAGTGAGCACTTCTCCTTTGCAGAGACAGGTGTGGCATACCAAGATGCTGATTAGACAGCATGAGTATTGCACAGGTGTGCCTTAGGCTGGCCACAATAAAGCCAGCCTGAACAGTGAAAACCGGGATTCATCCGTGAAGAGAAAACCTCTCCAACGTGCCAGTCAGGTCGAGACCCCGATGAGGACGACGAGCATGCAGATGAGCTTCCCTGAGACGGTTTCTGCCAGTTTGTGCAGAAAGACATTGGTTATGCAAACCGATTGTTGCAGCAGCTGTCCGAGTGGCTGGTCTCAGACGATCTTGGAGGTGAACATGCTGGATGTGGAGGTCCTGGGCTGGTGTGGTTACACGTGGTCTGCGGTTGTGAGGCCGGTTGGATGTACTGCCAAATTCTCTGAAACGCCTTTGGAGACGGCTTATGGTAGAGAAATGAACATTCAATTCACGGGCAACAGCTCTGGTGGACATTCCTGCTGTCAGCATGCCAATTGCACGCTCCCTCAAAACTTGCGACATCTGTGGCATTGTGCTGTGTGATAAAACTGAACATTTTTAGAGTGGCCTTTTATTGTGGCCAGCCTAAGGCACACCTGTGCAATAATCAGCATCTTGATATGCCACACCTGTGAGGTGGGATGGATTATCTCTGCAAAGGAGAAGTGCTCACTATCACATCACAGATTTAGACAGATTTGTGAACAATATTTGAGAGAAATGGTTATTTTGTGGATATAGAAAATGTTTTAGATCTTTGAGTTCATCTCATGAAAAATGGGAGCAAAAACAAAAGTGTTGCATTAAATTTTTGTTCAGTGTATAACTATTATAATGTGTCTACAAAGAGATAGGCAAGGACAAAGATGCCAGGATACGCCAGGCAGTTTACCACGGTGGCAGGACCTACATGACTCAGCAGGAAGCAGCATTAGTGTTATCATGGAGCCACATCAGTCAATTGAGTAAAAATTAGATGAGTGACATTTTCTTAATATTGTCATGTTGTTATGAGATAATGTCATGATCAAAACTGACAAGAGCTTCATTACGAACAACAGACTCTTTGATTTGAGCTGAAAGATGAGGATTTCTGGAAAGCAGGGTGTGAGATGAGAGATGTGAGTAATATTTAATAAATCCTTGTTTAACTCACATTGTTCCTGACTGATTAATCATTGCTAGTTTTCCATGCATCTGAGAGGGGATGCCTCTGTTTAATCTGCTGAGAGTCCAGTTGTGAATGAGCTCACTGAGCTGTGATTGGTCAACCTGAGCCACAACCCCAGTGTGTTTGGTTCACAGAGAGGGAGAAACAGAGGCTTTGTAACCAACTGAGGTTAAATACAGTTGTCTCCAAGGAAGAAGTAGAAAGAAGTAATCAGATCCTTTACTTAAGACGTAATAATTCAAAATCTTATCTAAGAGCTGAGGTATTATCAGCAAAATGTCATCTAAAAAGTGTCAAAAGCTTAAATACTTATGCAGCAGAATGGCCTTTGTCAGTGTAATATTTTTAAATTTTTGCCGCCAATATTCTAACATATAAGCAAGCAGATAGATGTGGAGAAATGTTAAACTACTGTACAGTAGTTGTATTTCATAAGCTGTTTGTTCATGTGTTTCATATAAAATCTTAATCTGAAATGTAACTACTAATTTAAATGTCAAATACATGTATTTGAGAAAAAAAGTACAATATTTCCCTCTGAAATGCAGTGGATTATAATTATAAAGTAACATGAGGTAGAAATAGTCAAGTACAAGTATGTCAAAATTGTATCTGAGTACAGTACTTGAGTAAACATACTAGATTCACACTAGACAGCTAAGCTCTACCTCCAAAAGCTGTGAATCCAGGTATATTTGATTAATTCTCAGGCTAGAATCTAAATCTAAACAATAAGCATAAAATACAAACTGTGATTTAGTTTTAATTAAATAACAGACAGTTTAAAACTAGCCGAAAAAGTACAAATGATTATGCTAGTTTCTGTAAAATCATATTTCATTGTGGCTAAAACGCATGTCTTTAAGAAATGGGGATTGGTAGCCTAAATGATTTTCCACCAGATGGCAGCAACGCTCTGCTCCGCCCTTGTTTATAGTGGCACTGAATCTGATAAGGTCAATAAATAAGGCCTGAGGCAATGGACTGTGCAGCATTGAATCAATCAAACTGTAAATTTAATTAGATGGAGTGATACACAATGCATCAGAGTCCAGAGTGATAACACCTGGACATATTTAAAATAAAACATATTCACAAAAATTTGTAAACAGCAAAGTAAAAAAAAAAAAAAAAAAAAAAATTTACAGAGCAAAACGGTAAAAACATGTTTTTAAAAAAAAAAAAGAAAAAAGGAAAAGGGGGAACATTTTAGTTAGGAGTGAAGACGACAGTCGTTAGGCAAAAGGCAAGCGAACACATGTTAGTGGATCACATTATTGTAAACATAAAGAAAAGTGCAGCCTCTTCATTCAACAGCATTTTCTTAGTGTAATCATCTTCACTTAGAACACATACCTTCCTATGGGATTTTTGACAAAATTGTGGTCGTGTCATTTTTTGTGCTGTTTCCATCATCGTTATAATTATTAGAAAATAAACTAGAGCAATTATAGCGAACATTATTTTGGGAAGTGAATATCCAGGAAGTCGTAGGTACGTGTGTGAAAAAGAGAACAGTTTCTACCAAAGTGACACATTGCATTAAAGTGATGTGGAGCTGAAGAGAGCTTACACGATAACACATGAAAATTCACTCTATGATTGAATTTTCACAGCTTTGTTTTGTATTTTTCCATACTGTCATTAAAATGAGAGAAAAAAAAGTCTTGATTAGCAGCAAATGGAATCATAAAGTAAGGGAGCAATAGTTTGACCAGATATAATGTTAGGTGATCGTACGTACTGTAGACTATCAACATCCCAGTTTAGACCTGGACTGTATCTGTGGACATTTACAGCTACATAGCCTAAGAGTACTAGAGATTACATAGATAACACCTATGCATAATGTCTTATAAAGTACAGCTACTACATGTACACACTGATTTCATCTGAGCAAACCTTAATATCAACGTCCTGTTCCCTCTTAGCTGGACAGAATCTAGTGATTGTTATAATAAAAGTCTTTCACATCTGGTAAAATACATTGCTAAGAGCAATTTTTGGTCACATTCATTCAACTATCATACACATACATTTTACTTTTACCTTCATTCTCTAAAACTCACCGAGACATTTTTATACCACCGACTGATAATCATGTTTCCCTTTTAAAACAGCAAAAGTCTTTGTGTGAAATCTCCTGTGAGACTTCAGCCAGATAATGAGATCTCATAGTCACTTGTTGAAAGCAGGGGGCGCCCAACTTTACGCACATTCTTGGCATTAGTTATACGAGCTGCTACCTCCACTGGCTTCTCAAAATAATGCACCAGAGCCTGCTCGGTGAGCACAGAGGCCAGGAACTGCTCAAACGTGATGGCCCAGTCTTTGTCAATGCTAGTGCTGTGAGGCAGCCCTCTGTCGAGGGGACCACCGCCATGAGGCTGGTTATTTCTTTCACCGTTGCCACCGTTCTCACTGCGCACAAGCACCGTGTCGTCTGCAATGTCCTCACACTGCAGCTTTTCATCCAGCTCATGGGAGCCCGCGCTGAGCACCGAGTAAGATGACATTGACGTGTCATCTTTGGTTTCATCATCCGAGATGAGCATGGCAGAGGATGTGCCAGTGTCTTTGGGGGACGAGTCCTCCAGCTTGATGTCTTGCATAGGTGGCAGCTGCTCGTTCCCTTCGTCCCCTTTCCCCTCCTCACAGGGGCTCGGCTTGTTCTCCAGACCTGCATGGACAAAAGCGTCTCCCTGGTCCCCCTGCTGGAACACGTCATCAGACCCAGACTCCTGGGTGCTTTTGGGATCTGTGGTGTCTCTCATACAAATGCTTGGCTCTGATTTACCCTCCATGTTGTGGTCCTTCCTACTAGAGGAGGATGAGAAGAGCTTTCCGACCTCTCCCATTTCCAGCAGCAAACTGGTGACTGTGGCTGTGGCATGATAGAGCTCCTGTTCTGCAACATCCTCACTGAACATGCTGTAGAGGGTCTTACAAAGCTCGATGAACTGGCTCTGAAGGAAAGAGGATAACGTCAGGTATACTCTTCTCTTGAACACTGAGTTTCTTAGACACATACTGTATGTTCGATTCAGTAGAGAGGGTGAGATCTCACCTGATTCAGCCTGGGGAGGTCTTTTGTGTTTTCCAGTTTGGGTTTGGTCTCCTGGTTCCACAGTTTCAGGTAATGGCGGTAATCAGGAGTGTTCAGTTTCTTCACTGTAATATGTAAAAAGAATGTGTTATGTATTTTAGTCACAAGGTTAAATGATGTTCTATTTTTTTTTTTTATATAAAAACAGCATAACAGTGCCACCAGTGTCTGCCTGTGTCTTGGCAGCAATTAAAGAAATGATCTATTATATAATATAATTATATAAATGTCATACAAATAATTCTAAGACTGAAACATATTTTTTTTCCTTTTCAATGGTGAATAGAAATCTTGGCCTGTTTTTCAAAATAAGTACTTTGCTATAAGATGATAGCATAATATTATTATCATTATTATCATTATCATTATTAATACTATAATGGGAATATACTGTATACATATACTGTATACTTTGATGGATGATAAGAGCATACAGCTACATTCAGTTATGTTCAGTCAGCATTTATCAATTAGCTTAAATATCTAGTTGCTCATCTTAAGTGAGCAGGACTGTATCGTCTATTGTATTGTAGAGCTGTACATACTTTTTGTTTCTTACCTTTTTCAGTCTTAAATGTAACTCTGACAAAACCATCATCCTTCTCACTTCTGCACTTTGAGTCATGACCTAAGGGAAGACGGAGGGTGACCGAGATCAACATCTGTTCAATCAATATGCACATTTTCTGTAAAAAGATTGTTTCGATTATAAATTTCTATATCATGAAGAAAAGCAGATTATACTGCATATATACACAAATTACATACTTCATACATACTTAAGGTTTTTGATCATACACTATACACAGGCTCCTGTTCCAATTCTATGGTTTACCGCCCAACGTAATATATCAAACTATCATCAGTCCCTCCTAATGTTAATGAAATACATGCATAGGAAAACTACCACTCTGTCTCTGGGATCACATTTGATCACTGCACAGGTTTAATTATCTAAAACAGCAGCTGTCAGATCAACAAGGGCGTTTGAAGCCGTTTCTCTCTCCTCTGCATATTCAACACAGGATCCTCCTGCAGGCCCCTGCCTCACATACATAATTTAACTTGTGTTGTTATTGTGCTTGTGCTTTCATGACTGTCAGTGCGCACAATACAGGCTGCATGCAATGTCTGTGGTTTCAAGGTTAATACAACCACACTTTCCCCCTGCAAATCACATATCGTGCCCACAACCACAACAACAGATTACAGTCATGCAAACCTTGTCAGGACAATCTCAAGTCCTCTACACTGTGAATGTCAACGTTTGCCTTCCACACAGGCAAAAACTGCGCTAACAAACAAGTGGACATGTGGCAGTGGTCAAGTAAGAGTAGAGAATAAAAACAGTGTGTGATGAGAAAACCAAGGATGAGTTCCCTCAAACATATTGAAACTGTGCAGTGTGAGATGTAATTGTGATATTCTACTCCTGAGAATGACCTAAATAAAATACAGTAGTTGATGTCAAATGTATGCAGACTTCTGTTGTTAATGAGGTGAAATCTTTTCTGCAAAATAATTTATGTGATAATTTGTCACGAACCCCCTCCACCTTTTTTTTTTTTTTTTTTAGATTTGTTACTCACATGTATGTATCTATCTATCTGTAAACTAGGATCAGGTTATTGGATGGGGTGTGTGTGTGTGTATGTGTGTGTGTGTGTGTTGTGTGTGTGTGTGTGTGTGTGTGTGTGTGTGTGTGTGTGTGTGTGTGTGTGTGTGTGTGTGTGTGTGTGTGTGTGTGGGGTACGATGGTTATGAAATGTCGCCATGACAAGTAGAGGGGTTGAAGAATTCGGGTATATGGTTTTATTACATAATTGTGCTTCACCTCCACAGTGTGTATATGAAAAGGATGTTAATACAAATTTGATCACCACAACAAAAGGGGAAAAAAAGAAGTTTATCTTAGGTCCTTACCGACTGACGTTTCTGAAATAATTTCCTCAAAGAAGTACTGAGTGGCTTCAAAGGCAGAGTCAGGCTCCTCCTGTTCATGAGTGATTTCTAGGAGAAAAGAATATTCACCTCGGATTATAAAAACATAATGTGAACAATTACCAAAGACCTGAGGTTAAGACCTGACACAGTGAATAGTTGAAGGTTTTAATTTTTGTCAGTTCTCTCATAAAAAACATGCTGACAAAGGGAGACCTGAGAAAGTTATTTACCCAGTGACGTGAGACAAGGAGCACAAAGCGTAGCATTTTCTCTCTCACCGAAACTTTCCATTGAGTCACCTCTTTTCTGTTCAGCTAATAATCCTGCCCCACTGAAACGAAACACTTTCTGTGGTTCCCTAAAGATGACCCTCCAAGGTCACTGAACTGCATCGATGCGCACTCACCGGGTAAAACGTGCATCTTGTAGAGGAGCTTCAGCTTCTCGGTTAGGTCCCCGTGACACAAAACGCCTACAACATAACAACAAGCTTTAGAGACTGAACATATCTGAACTGTTTCCAAATGTGATTCATCATCTTAAATTAAAGTCATCACAGTGTAAAACACCCATTTGTCAACTGTACAGTCAGTACGTTATGAGCCATTACTTCCAAAGAACATTCCCAAGGACACACACACACACACACACACACACACAATCTTTGTGGACTTACCCAGGCCGCTGATGAACTCCCTGAAGTTGATGAGGGCATCTCCGTTTTGGTCAAGGAGACGGAAGAAGCGCACGGCCAGAGGGTCTGAGTGGGCTCCGTTGGCCCAGGGGAACAGCAGGTTGAACAGACCCTTAAACTGCTCCATGTCGATGCGGTACTGCTCCAGGTAGGGCAGGCTGGGGTCATGACGCTCTGTGGGGTTGCTGCTGCCGCCCCAGTAGCAGCTGGTCAGGTGCTCCGCCTGCAGAGAGGAGGAGAGGGTTAAAACTGAATGAGACTGAATGTGAAAATGAAAAAAAGAGCTATAAAAGAACACAAGCTGCTTCTTGCTGAGTTTGAATTAAAAGATCAATGGGGCTTGACTAGTAAACAACAACTATTAGCATAGTCACATTCTGTCATGTTTGTGAAGTACAAAAGAGGCTTTGACAGTGTGTCTGGAAAACAATTTCACTCTTGACTAATCTGAATCATTATGAACACTGTGCCAGATGGACGAACACAAAAAGGTGAAAAGGTTCTTTTAGTCCCACAACATAAATATGTGAACTATACCTCACCTTGAAGAGCACGTAGAGCTCCTCCAGCTCATCAATACTGAAGGCGGTCTCTGTTACAATAGTTCTGACCTGTGACAAAATAGAATTACATGAAGTAAAAATACAAGACATTAGAAAATAACATTAAGTGTAAAGAGCAGAGTAACCAATAATGACCTGAATGTGGTTCTTTTTGCTTCTAAGTTCAAATCTAATTTGACCTGCAGAACTAAGAGACTTACAGAGTTGGCGTGTTGCCTGTTTACTGTTCTGCTATTTGCACGACAGAGTTGAGCAAGAGTATTCCAGAAAATGCAACTGAAACTGACTGACTGACTGACTGACTGACTGACTAATTCCAGTATTTATACATTTATACGTCCTTACCACGTTGCGTTTAGTTGTATCTTCGATGGTTTGGATGACCCTCAGTCTCTGTTTGAAACGCATCTGTTCAATCACATCTGCACGGATCGAGCCAAATTTCTGACGTGAAAGGAGAAGTAGAAACGGAGACATGGATCAGTCTAACTCTGCTGTAACTGAAAGACCGTTAACAAAGTGGAAATAATGAGGACGGCTGGAGACAACAGTACGATTGTGAGGCTCTGAGACAGCTGGGTTTGTCAATGAGATACAAGTTAAATTAAATTAAATTCAAGTTCAAATCATATAAACTGAAACCATACTGCACTTCATCCAAAGCTCTAACATCACAGCTTCCTTGAGAAACAAATGTTCAACAAATGAACAGATGAATGAAGAAACAAACAAAGAGTCACACACTCATAATCATAAAACTGTCTTTAACAATTCCAACTAACATGTTGAACTAAATATGACATTTGTACAGCATCAGTGTTAAATACCTCGTAGGAGCTGCGGACCAGTTTGAAGATGTCAACCTCTGGATGCGGCTCTCCATTGTCTGTTAGTAAGGAGTGCAGGTGGGGGATGGGAGGTAAAGTGCTGTCTTTATTGGTCACACTGTCCAAGTACCTGCAGCACACAAACAATTAGCCAGAGAAGAGGCAGTATAGTACCAAAATTATCAAAACATCTGTTGAGATCGCGGAAGAAATGATCTCATAAATGGTGAAATAGTTTTAGGGTGTTAAGTTACAGGAGGAATATCCTAGACTTGACAAACCAAATAAAGCGCCCTCTGCCTCTCCTTACCTGCCCAGTACGGTCATAGCTTCGCCGTCGTCCTTGCAGCCCAGCAGCTGGTGGATGTTGGCGTGCAGCACAGAGAGCGCCAACTGAAAGATGACCTTGATGCCATCATAGAAGAAGCAGTCCACCACCACCACTGCACTCTCGAACGGCATGACAGACAGGAAGAGGGTGAGGAACCAGGAGAGAGAAATTGTGGAGATGACCCCGAGGTCCTGCATGCAGTCGTACAGCTGTGGGACGTACTCCCGCGCGAGTTCCTCGAACACGCCCTGATCGACTAGGGCTCCTGGGGAAGAGGGGTAGATGTTAATGTCTCAGTGAGAATAAAACTTTTTTTTTTCCAGGACCACCCTGGGCCAAGAAGGCAGCATAAAGAGGGCGTTATGAAAATAAATACTATAAAAGCGAAAACACTACACAAAAGACAAATACATGTATTTAAATGTAACAGAACCATACATTTGAATGTGAATCAAACAAACGCACATGAATACAGAAGAAAACGCAAATACTGACCGACAACTCGAGTGTTGTAGTAGTCGGGGAGCATCCTCTCACAGAGCGCCACGAGCAGCCAAAAAGCCTCCTCTTCTTTGGCGTAGAGCAGCAGCACAGATGTCACAATGTTCATGGCCTGTGGAGTTGAGGTAAAGAGAAGAACAAAAATATCAAGTATTGTCAAGCGCTGGCAGGTTTCTGCCAGCTCATGTGGAAACGCAAACAACGGAGCGTGTACCTGACAGTATCCAATGTTGGGATTTCTGAATGCATAGGCGGTAAGGACCCTGCGGAGAGCAGCGATGCCCATCTCATTCTGAAAGGCCGGGTGCTCGGGCAGAGAGCGGTGCAGGTCCCTCTCGATCTCCTCTGTTGCCAGGTTGTACTTGCCCATCGACTTCTCCACCAGGTCTTCGTAGTATCCAGGGTGAGTGGCCATCTCGTTGATTGCCCCTGTGAAAAAACACATGAGAATTAAAAGGTTGAAAGTAGATTCTGCGTAAAATCTCCTCCAAAACCCACAAAATCTATGGTAACAATGTCTGTGATGAGGTCCATTACAGGCAAAGGTTTGATTGAATATTTAAACCACCAAGTATAAGATAAGATAAACTTTATTGTTCTCAGGCAAAAGGAAATTCAAGTGTCACAGCAGCTGAAGTACAAGAACAAACAAAAAGGCAATAAACACTTTATGGCATATTCCAAAAGGTTACATAACCATCATAGCATCTAAACTGTGATACAATAGTTTCTGTATCTCACGTCAGTTAAGTTGCACATTTCTTAATGGTTTGTTTTCTGCCTTGAATGGATGCTTGTTTCACGGTGTGATAAAATACGAAACCAATCAATTCAAACACAAAACCTTAAACTGATTCGATCTAACTTTTAGTTTTATTATTATTTTACTGTGTATTTTGAAATGTATGAGTCAGTGTAGACACTCCACCTCCCTAAACAGTTGCCTTTACAATCCTTATTGTCACATTAATGTCTTCTAAATCCATTCATCGGAGCTCTGACTTTGAGCTTACTTTAAAACTATTAAGTTTGTATCTTAAAATAATAAGTGTTACAAAGGTAAAAAAAAAAAAGCAAAATAACTGTAAACATACCATAGACAGTAGTAAATGGGCTGTAACTTGAATTACACTGGTATTTGGTTTTCAAATGCCTTAGAGGTCTGTGTGCAGGTTTAGCAGGTTATCAGAGGCTCTGCAGAGTAACAACCTGCAGCTGACCTTTTTACATTAGTCTCTGCTCCAGGTTTTACTGAGCACAGTTATCCACACACATATAGTACACGTGCTTATTGGAGCACGCTCCAGTACAGAAGCTCACCAAACTAGTTTTTACACCCTTTGCGCTGACAGGAGACACCAATTAGGCAACACCTGAAAGTCGTAAATTGCTTTGTAAATATATTTCCTATTAGAGATGGCCTCGTTTTCAGAAGACGCAGGTGAGTGTGTCAACACAATGCAGCTATGACAACAAGCAGAGAGAGCCAGACGTGGGTCACAGGAGAGCGGGAGGAGCTGCTTGTAACCCGGCTCTGCTCAGGTGAGGATGAGTAAAAGCTGCTGCTGGTGCGTAACACATGACTGTGCTTGTAAACGGGGAAGTGTGGAGCCTGTGCATACCTGAATATGTAGCATGTTGTAACAGAGTGAAAGCCACCGGTGCTTTGAATAGTTGACATACATTTTCCATTCAGCTAATGTTCAAGCAGTGATGGAACATGATGCATTTATATGTACATATATTAGCATGAGCTGATTCACACAGAGGACCAAGTGAGTTCATTTACTTTTGCTTCATGAAAATCTTCAAACCTCATTTCTTCTGGATAATCAAAATAAATTCTGTCATGTCAGCAGGATCATTACAGACTTCTCTGTTTATGTTAGAGCATGCCCAGATTTTCTCTGAGCATTTACACTTGTGACATTATTGTGCACATGGAAATGTGCCCTGATATAACTGACTGAACACAACCTTTTGTAGTTGTTTTCAAAAACTTTGTGCATAGACACCCTGTATATTAATGTTTGAAGTTAAGTATAATAACTATAATAAAATTACATTGCAAATAAACTGCATCGTATAGATCTTTGGGGTACCGTCTTGAAATCTTCTCTTGGCTCCTAACCTGGGTGCTGTCACCCTCTAAAAGAGTCACTAAAATATGAGGCAGGCACAGATGATTGTAGGTGTAAGAAGGTTTTTTTTTTCGGACTCTTCTCTAATTTCTTGCATTTTCTTGTGAAATACTGCATACTGTGGGACCTCAGAAGTCTAAAAATAGTTGAATCTGACAAGAGCCATTTGCAGATCTTGCCTGAGGGCGACCTAGACTCAAGCCAGCGTTTGAAAAACAATTTCACTCTTGAATAATCCAAATCGTTAGCAACACTGTGCCATTAATAAAGTGGTGAATATGTCTTTATCATGTGTTTTATACAGTCCTACACAAGAAGAGCTTATATTGGAGGAAATAATACATGTAACTACACATTTCTGAGCTATATTTCTGAGTATTCCAGTTGCACACTGGTTGTTCGTGCATCGCACATTTGTCAACAGGACATCTGTAGATAAATTACACCTGCAGAAAATTTGTATCATGTGATCAAGTGTAAGCGGCAGAAAGCAGGGTGTGGTCTCACTCGGTACAATGCATCACTGAATCAAATGCAGTACTGTATGCTCAGAGTGTGCTGAGCCCATGTTTGTTAGAGGCCTCCCCTCCCTGAACATTTCCTCACCAGAGAAAAGCAGCCAGAGCTCCCCTCTCATGCTCTCAGGAATCCCCTTGAGGACCAGCTCCTTCGTCTTCTCAGTGCGGTACATACACACTCCCTGTCCGTACTCGGTAAAGTGGTTCTTCCACGCCTGCTCCTTCATGAACTCCTTCGCCTGAGCAAAGGGGGGAAAAAATTTCATGAGAGGCTGTAACTCAAGTACAATTACAGTAACCAGCAGTTTGGACTTAAATCACTGACATGCAGTTTCAATATTTCATTTTTGCACACTCCACAAAGCATGAATACTGTAATATTCTATAATACAGAGTCAAAGTCCCATTGAATTGAGGATTACAAGAGGTACAGGGTTAAGTCTTTAAGTCTTACAGAAAAATACATCTTTCCAAGTTGCTGCTAACAGCAATTCAAGGTCAAGAAAAAAAAGTCCATCTTAATAATTCATTATCCAAGACTAGGAATAGCTTTAACGGAAACAGAATCTATTATCAGAACAGAGTAGTATTAGATAAGGCATTACTCCGGCTGTGCCATACTTAACAAAATTAAATGCTTTTGATTGTATTTGACAAAGTGTAATTGAACTCACCAGCTTGGGGTTGAACTCCTCAGGCGAACGCCGGCGGTACATGGTCATGAGGGCTTGTGTAGCTGTGGGCACACTGCTGTCATTGAGGTTAAATGTTCGCTCACCCTCTGAACCCAGACTGTGCTGTGGGCTGCTGGAAAGCAGGGATCCTTGCTGGGAGTACACCTGGAGGGGACACATGGCATCAAGTTATTTCTGACTGAAACTGATATAGTCTATATATATATATACGTATATATATATATATATATATATTTATGTATAATATACAAAACTACATATATTAGATATAAAATAATAAACAATAAAATGTAGGTTTCCTTTCCTACCTCATCATCTGAGCTGTTAAGGCTGCCAGTAAGTTCCCTCTCCAGGCAGATCTTGGAGGTGGTCTGCTGCAGAAAGTCAGAGATCCTCTGCACAAGGAAGTCTCTGTCCTTCAGGTTTGCAAATAGAAAGGTCATGCGGTTCTTGGTACTGATGGAGAGTGGGCTGGGCAGCACGTTGGAGCTGTCTGCTTTCTCCACAATGGTCACCTGGAAGACGTCAGGGAACATTCACAATCTCATTCGCCATGAAATAAACAATGACAAGCAGCCATAACCATGGAAACCGAATGTGTCTGTAATAAGATAATAGGACTGTATAATAGGTGTTGGTTGTTGTTGCTGTTTATAAGTTCCAATATCATACTCACTAAGTGAAGATTGACAAATAACTAAATAAAAGAGGAAACTAATATGGTGTGCGAGCCACACTTTTCCCCTGACACTTAATGAAATGACTCAATTCCTTCACAAAATTAACATAATGTGCCTGAAGTTACAAAACATAATAATACTAGACCAAATGATAAAATAATGTTGGCTAGGTTAGCATATTTGGTTATTATTTAACTCATGCTAAACTGGATGAATATTGCTAACTGAAACACTGTCCATGTACCTGTGCATATACAAATGTGATCAGATGGCACTGCTGATGTTTCCTACTAATCTTTTTACTATTCTCACATTACAGTTTATAATAGCAATAACATTACTGTACCATTTTCTAATACTGTAAGAGCCCATTTATAAAAGGGTTTATAACCTGAAATTATTGGCTTTATTACTCATTTACAAATGCTTTATAAATCAGTTTAAGCCATTATTAAGAACAACATTTGTGTTGCCAGGTTGTGGAAAATCTTCCTCCACCATGACACTTTTGTCCTTTTCTCTTTTTAGCAATCTTATTCATTAGGAAGACCTTTTGAAAACTTACCTTCTGGAGGAGGACTTTCCACTACCGGGCAACCCAGAATTTGTTGGTATATCTTATAACTTATCTGTAAAGAATTATTAAAGGATTTATTGACCTAAAGTCATTAATTACCACTTAAAAAGCCTTTATATAAATGGTGTCTTATCAGAAAGTGGTACTGACTTTTAAGTTTTAACGGTTCAACATGATTTAGAAAATCTCTAATATGAAACTATTTAATTTAAAAACGAGAATTGAGGAGGAACTTCGCAATGAATTTTCAAATAGCTGGCGCAACACAAAGCAACCAAAAATGGATGAATGTGATGCAGCATGACAGGCAATGCTGCATTGTGTGTGTTTATGGGTGTGTGTCTCTCTTTCTAGAGCAGATAGGCAGTGTCAACCCCCTACCACACAACACTATCAAACACATTCACGTCTTCATGATTTACTTCAGCTACTAGTGACTGACTGCTGTTTTGATAACAGTGCTGCAAGTAAAATACTTTTTCCAAAAGCAAAATGCCAATAAACAAAGAGACATATTTAAAAAGGCTGACTCACCTCACGCAGGGGGATGATGAGACTACACAGCGTCTCTTCCTTGCTGGTGAAGCAGATGTAGTTGGTGGAAACAAACATCTGTCCCAGGATGTGCATCTTGTTAAAGGGGGTCCACAAGGTGCAGTCTGTGTGTCCGTCCAGTTTTTCATCTTTGGGCAGACGGAAGAGTGCCCGGTAACGTTCACTCTTCGCTCTTGCATCCAGATCCCTAAAAGGACGCAGAGTCCTATTAGATGACTTTTGTAAATATATAACGTCACAGCTCGAGGCTGAAATAGTCGCAGTCATAGATGCATTAACATCGTTATAATGGTTAGAAGGCAAAAAGGTGATATCTCAAAAATGAATTTACATTACTTTACTGCAATGTAAGACCTGACCAGTACAGTTAAATTACAGTTCAGTAGACACAGTAGTTTCATTTCCTGATGTTATACAATTTGGATGAATCTACACAGACATTTCATTGTCTGTGTAGATATAATGAAGCCTTACAAGAGAAAAAACATCCCAAAGCAGCAAATTGATGAGTATAAAAAAAACCTGCAGTGAAATAAAGTCATGCTTACATGCTTGAGGTCATTGAGATCTCACAGACATCTACTAGAGTTCAAAAATACAACACCCTTTTATTTCCTCACACATAGGTGTTATACAACTTATGCAACACAGTTTTAGATTATTACCCTCCGTCCTGAAGAATCTGGATAACCAACTACTTTACCAACCATAACACATTAATGTTCAATCAATAAATGTCGTAAACATGTATAAACTGCATTTATTATTGATGAACATAAGTGTTCCTGCTCTGCATCAGTCCGTCCTTACCTCTTGAGTGCCGACACTTTCTTGGGTGACTTCTTCTTGAGCTTGGGCAGTGAGCGGTCCTGTTCGAAGCCTTTGTTGTCCAGGAGCTGACGCATGGCGATGTTGGCCAGCTGCTCGGCCAGTTTGAACGTCTCGTTGATGTTGAGGAAGACAGAGAAGACGTGCTCGTTGGTGCGGGTGCTCACCTTAATCACATCAGGCAGCAGGAGGGTGGCGCTCTTCTCCAGCTGGGTCATATCTGCCCAACGCACCACCAGTTTGGCTGATAGAGAAAGAGAGAGACATTAAGATTGATATATCAGTATACATTAAAAAGAGAAGATCAATGCACTCAGATAGCCCTCAGGATATGGCTGAAGACTTGCAAAAGGCTTCACCTTAAGAAGCATACAAGAATATGGATGGTGTACGATGCAGTTTAGGCCCTCTGGTTCTGATATGCGGCTCAGGGATACAGTAAAGAGAGGTGTAATGGACTACTGGACTATAATATATAATCATAGTCTTGAGTACATACAGTTTTCTACAGATATCCCTTTAATAAACACTTGGAGGACAGTCAACTTTTCAATCTATTTGAAGTAATTATTAATATAGGCATACAGACAAAACAACAAACTAATATGACAATATACAACAGAAACTCAAAATCCAAGAATTAAACTAATGATCCGAAAGAAAGAAGAGACAAGCAGACCTATAGATGACAATATTTGGGCAAGACAGACTAAGAGGAGTTCTGCTTGAGAAGCATAATCTAATATTTTGTGACTTCATACCTGAATTTTATTATTTAAAAAATATTTCTCAGACACAAAATCAGTGCTGGTTGGTGGCGGCTCTGTGGCTCTGTGCCTGATAATCTTCATATTTTAACTTTTAATCTTATCCTAGTGGCAGGATTGCCAAAGAGATAATGAAAATGTTGGCAGCAGGTTTGTTGTCATGGTTCTTTGTACATTGGTTTACGTGGGTTTGAGTAATGAGATTTAGGATTGATAAATGTTTAATGTATTTTGTTTTAAGTTCAAGTTTGTGCTCAAAACTCATAAGTTTGTCAGTTTTACGTGGCTGCAAGACAATTTTCAAGTTAAAGTTAAGGTTCAAATCCCGATAAACTTGAGAAATATGATGAATGCCTGCAGATCCTTTACCTTAATGCCTGATAGGAGTGATAAATAAAATACTGGGGGGAAAATACCAAACAATCAACCATATACACTGTATGTGCTTATAAGATCTAACCTATCTTATATATCATTTCCTGTGCAATTATTGTATGAAACCACCCATTTGCATTGGAAATATTAATAAAAGCAAATATCAGCATAGGTAATGTATAAAGATAAGGATAGACATATAAAATGTTTCCTGTGGATATAAAAATGGTCAACATCCAACCTTCTTTTCCCAGTAAGTAGGAGTAGAAGCAGAGGTGGTTGATGCTGAGGTAGAGCCATCCCTGCCGGGGCACCTTGCCCTTCCAGTAGCTGCAGGAATAATAGTTGACCAGCTTCTCCTCCTCTGGCATCCCAAACAGCTTACGAAACTTGGCGCTGGCCTCTTTGAACTTGTCTGTGTCGTCATCCTCTTTGACATCGTGGTTCTTGTTGTACTCTGCGATGATGCCCTGCAGCGAGATGCAAAGCAAAAGAATGACGTAATGAGCGGAGACGTGAAAAATAGGGATTGTTAAGTAAGAAGCATCAGATCAGGCATGGGCTCGTACAGTTTAGAGTACTTCATATGCTCTGATAAACCAGCAGTTATTTGGCAAAACAGGAGTAGATCTGAATTGTTTAAAGATACAGATCAGCTGCTCGAGGGTTTTTGGATGCCGATGTTTAATATATGTGGAACAGTTCTTAAACCTGACCCTCTGAAGGCCATTTTCAGTGTGGTCCAGAAATTAAAGATCCAAGCTGCAGCTGTGGCCTTCTCTGCACTGCTTGCTTGACAAACTATTGTCTTCACAAAAAAAAAAAAAAGACCACCATCCTCTCATAAATGCTTGCTGGAGGATGTTATGGCACACATTAAACTCAGCTAAAAGCTAAGCTAAAGCATACCACTGAAACTTTTATACGACTGGGCAACAAGCTGACTGACTATTAATCATCTGCCTGGGTGATGGATGATGTATTTATGTTTATTTACTGTATAATACTTGTTCTCCTCTGTGTGTTTACCTGGCAATAATGGACATAGATGTCTGTTGGATTGAAATGTGACTCTGTTAAATTAAATTTGTTAGAAGCTCTCAGTACAGAGGGAAGATAGTTGATCTGCCTTCAGTTTGTTTTTTGTACAATAATTACTTGGAGAACTTGAAGTCCAAACATTAAAGTTTTAGTTACCTGGACCTTTCCTTTGACAAAGGTGGTAATATCGTTCTCGTTCTCAAAGATGGAGAGTGTCTGCAGCAGGTTATGCTCCAGCCACTCCCAGTGCTCTGTGATCTCTTTCCGGGAGGTTCCTGCAGAGGAGGGAGGAGGGGAAGTCAGAGCACTCAGGCAGTGAGTTCACAGTAGGAGCACGGAGGTCTAATGTTTCAGAAACGATGACTATTGTGCCATGACACCACAAGTCACTTAATGCAACAACAAATGGAATATTCAAATATTGTTATATTAAAACCCTTGAATTGTGACAAGCAGATTAAACCTGAAACAATTAGTCAATTAGTAGACAGACAGAAAACTGATCAGCAACAATTTTGATGATTGATTTTTCGTTTAAGTCATTTTTTAAGCAAATAAATGCCAACAAGTCACTGGTTTCAGCTTCTCAAAAGGTGAATATTTATTGGTATTTGTTTTCTATGATAGCAAATTGAATATCTTTGGAATTTAAGCTTTTGATCAGAGAAAATAAGCAATATGAAGACGGCAGATTTCCCTATTTTCTGACATGTGAAGGCCAGATAAATGATCAATTAAGCGAGAGAATCATTGGCAGAATTAGTTGCAACCTTATAGCAGAACAACAGAGTGAGCTGGGAGTTCCTCTTTAGCTGCAGGACAGCACCAAGGTTCAAGCTAATGATGACAAAAGGATCACTTCAAGTCGTATGTCAAGAACAAAGAGTAAAATGAAATGCATATCTTCTGTTTTATGTTTGCACAGCAAATCTACGATGACCATCTTGCTACTGTCAGTAGGGCTAAAATAGATTTTTTTGTGGCCATAGGAGAAATTCATTGCCATAATGGCTGCCATTGTGGACCATTATCCCTCAACAGTGCTGCAAACAGCCCTTCAGTGAGTGTACATACACTGCATTAGCCACGTCTGCCAGACTGCTTCACTCTCCTGCTATCTCTGGGTTGCAGAATTAAGAACCGGGAGGGGTGGGGAGAGAGGCGAAGAGGGGAGCCAATGCCATTTCAAAGCCAGGCTAGTCTTTAGCAGGCCTCCATTTCAGATAGGGAACACAAATATTACTCTTTTTTATTTGTGCATTTACTAGGGGAGTGCTGAATTAAATTCATGGTTACACATATTCCCTAAAACAAATTCATATTTTCTTGTGTTTCATTAGAGTTGGTTCTTCATTCAATTAAATTACAGCAGTTTGAACCTTCCCTTTCTAATACCAGAATCTTATAAAGCCTCATACTGTTTCATTTCTTTGCAAAAAATACTCTAGTGTACCACTGTAAATGTGTAGGAGTTCATACCAAAATGTAACACAGACAAGATTGAAGCAGTACAACGGCAGAAAAGAACAAGAAACAGGCCTCCAATAATGGCTTTTTAATTTATTTATGTCTTCAAATGTGCCTCAGATTCCTCTCTTTTTAGTCTGCAGTTGAAGCAGCAGATCTGAACTGTTATTCTATTTTCAGGATGACCTAATGCAGAGCACCTGCTTAGTTATTTTTCACCTAAATGTTTTGGATAGAGCTGAAATTAGTCGATTTACTGATAAGTCAGACTGAAATGAATCAGCAACAATTCTCATAATCAGGGAATGTGAATTGGGTTGTTTTTTGTAAGCAGATATGCCCCAGACTGAATGATTCCAGCCTCTCGAATGTGATAATTGACTGGTTTTCTTTGATAGTAAACTGAATACCTCTGAGGTCTTGGACTGTATGTCTGATTAATCGATAATGGAAATAATGGTTGGGAGTGTCACAGCTTTTCCTAATAAATAGATGGGATAATTTCATATGAATGGCACAATACAAGTGATGGTAAAAAAAAGAGCGCAGCTTCCAATCAGTTTAGAGTGTACCTGCTAATTTGCATGATTTACTGCCACAGACTGTACGAAGCACTCTTACACATAAAAACTGGAGACAACAAGTAAAGGTAAACACCAGCAGATGACAAGAAATCGTACTGAAACTTCATCAAGTGATTAGCTGAAACATCACATCCACTCATGTTTGAGCAGCGCTTTCGGCACCCGTTCCCGTAATCCTGCTCTTTAAAACCACCGGGGCATGATGTAATGCTTGGCATTCAGCAGCTAACATGGGAAAAGGCAGGATGTTAGAACATCATGTGTTGTGTGGAGACTGGGGGGAGGGATGTGCAGGGGGTACAATTACAGAGGTATTATGAGCTGATAAAATCTAAAATCTAAAACCTAAAGTGGTGTAAATCAACCATTTAAATTCAAGTACACCTGAGGTTAGTGGCTTTGTTTCCTCCAAATACCTGCACTTTTGATCCAGGAGTTAAAATTCACATACCATGAGCAATGATCCAGTAAACTAAAGAGTCAGGTGTCTGGTAGAGGATCCTATATGGAGCCATTCGAGCACTTGAATCCAGGACGACATCCAAGGTCCCAACCAGCAACCCTATAAGAACCAAGAAAACTATTATTAAATTCTGAGAAGCAAACAATAGGAAACACACCAGTAAACTTCAGTCTTCAGACAGTCTTTCCACAAATGGATACAAAGAGATCTCATTGTGTTGGTCCAAAAACAACACATTAAACTTATACATTCGTTCAGCTGTGAAACAACAGCCCTTACAGACAACGACCATGTGAGAGGCATGACAAATGAAGGGCATTAACTTTCAGATGGTTTTGTTGTGCCTAAGCGAAGGGGAAACACATGAGGTCTTGTGGTTTAAGATTTGAGTGTATGAAAAACATCCTGAGACTTGAATGTCAGTGCTTTACATTAAATGCATTTGTTTATTGGTTAGACCTGTTAGGCATGAGCTGCATACAATATACATGACTCCGGGTTAGATTGCTACTGTGGTAGTGTTGTATTTGTGGACTTGATAACAAAATGTGATTTTGACATTTTAAGCCGCACAATAAACGTAGACAGACAACCACCAGCATGAAACTAAAACAGGCTGAGAAGGTGATAAACGATAAAAGTCACCAGAAAAACAAGGATGAATGGGCTAATGTAATGATGCATCTAAAGGTTTAAGAGATGTCAGCGTTTCTCAGTATAGAAAATGACGGTTGTTTGCATCGGCTACAATGAATGAGGCCATATGTAACGCAATAGAAAAACTAGTTTGTCATGCATCGGCACCAGATACATTGCAGCTTTATGTTTCAGACCAGTAACGCTTTCGAATAAATAAGTCACCCTGCATAAAGCGTTTGAGTTGTAACTAATGGACTTATTCATGGTGAGTAAATCACTTAATACTTTAAAGATCAGCTGTAACCCTTTAGTATGAACCTATTTGCTTTGCAAAGTTGTACAAAATGTCTTTGTTTTGTATTTACCCTGCTCCAGCTTTGTCTTTTGAACTTCTAATGCTCTTTAAAGGGGAACTCCCCCTCAAAGAAAGGGGGAGCAAACCACTCAGCATGAGAAAACACTTGTATAATGTCTTCTGTAGATCTGTAGGAGCTGTGTCTAGTCTGAGAAAATAATCCAGGAGATGCCATTGGAGTTATCTCAGCTTGGGCTCAGAAACCATGTTTTTTTTTTTGTTTATTTTTTTTAACGAAAGCCTTCCTTACAAACCAGAGGAGTAGAGTTTAAAGAAGTGGGTGCTACTGTCTGCATCACGGGAAATGTAGGATCCACTGTTTTTGGTGACTGGCCCATACTACAAAATTAAAAGTCAGGATATCTTGACCTCTGCTGCTCTGCTTTTGATGATTCTCTCGTTAACATCTCTCTCATGTCCCCACAAAGCGTAAATTGGCTAGCAAGTAAAAATATGCATCTAAATAATGCAAGTTTTAAAATGAATAATAATCATAATAATTATAAACTCTGCAAATGTTGTATGGGAAAGGAAAAACATTCAACAGGCTACACGCACACTGTGTTATTAACCATTACAATTGCAGATTTGGTGGGTTATAGCAAGAACCCTTTATTAATGACTATGCCGTCGGCAATATAGCAATTTTGATACTATTTTTCCAAGCAATTGTGCGACTGTTGGTAGATGTGAATATTCTCCCCTTGTTCAGAGGAGTAATACGTTCAACTGCCATGAGAGACAGGTTATTTTTGTTCAGCAGCTCATCAGGGCAAACACAGTATGAGTCACACAGAGAGAGAGAGAGATGAGGGGGAGGCGGGGGGAGAGAGAGAGAGAAGACAAGACAAGCGAGGGAAATTGAACAGTTTTCTTGTTTCTTAGTCTGAGGAAAGACAGAAATAATACGAGAAGTACATCTGTGTTACTTTGACTCACTGCCCTTCCATCATTCGGACTACAGTTAAGAGTCCTTGGCTGCCTTCTACTCTATTTCCTCATGTCAATCCCTCTCTTCCTTCACCGATATATCTTCCATTTTCCTTCTTATTTTCCTCCTTATCAGTATCTCTCAGTGCTTTAAAGCTTGAAGCCATAATTAACTGGCAGATCTGACAGATGTCAGTAATATTGACATAGTTAGATGGTGGTTCCTGGGCCAAATGTTATTGTCTTCCTGTTGTGTCAGAAGAATGTCATGGGGACTACTATGCAATCATGAATAAGCTTCAAAAATATTCACTTATACTTGTAAACCACTTCAACCTTTTCAACAGGGCTGAAGAAGTCAATTTAAAAAGGTGATCAGCTGTAGCTTATTAGAGGTTTAATAACTCTGAAACTAATGAGGTAATGCAGCCTGACAGTTTGGTTTAGTCCCTTTGTGAGACAAACAAACAACTGTTGAGTGTGGGAAGACAACTTCCTCTTTGACAAAAGAAAATCTCAAGGTTAAAAAACAGTCCCTAACCAAAAAGTGCAACAGTTGCTCACACATTGACCTCAAGGAAGGCTGTAACGTGTTACCCTGTTAGCATTTTACCCACAAAACGTAGCGATGAGGAACATAAGTGATACAGCAAATGTGAGAATCCACTGTTTTTTCTTGCAGTGTTGTGGTAAAAATTCCTGAAAATCAACTAGTTTTGACCTTAGTCGGACCTCGACGTGGGAGTTGAGGTTTGACGCAGGAAACTCGGGGGTTATGTCAAGGAAGGAGATCAGTGAAGGTGCAAGACCACTTAACATCCCACCCTTTCCCCCCTCTCAGACTGATACGAGTGAAATCCAAAACAGACAGAAGAAAAAGACAGTTTTTGTTCATGTCTTTGTATATTCAGTTGTTTTTATAGTGTTTTGACAACATTTTTATTTGTCTTTTAATATGCGACACTAACACTGGAGTGAAGGTGAACTTTGTTCTTTATATAACATAACATACAACCCCTAACATCACATGCCTGTGCAGCATCAGCTTGTCAAACCAAAGGCCATGTGACTGCTTCTTCCAACTCACACCTCTGCTTTTACACAGATAATTTCCTTCCACATGCTGAGTGTGTGGGTGCACAACCTACAAAACCAAGACAACACACAGCTGTAACGGTACTTGTTCCGTTTATTATTATCATTTCTGGGTGGCTGGAAAACTCCTCAAAGTGAGCAATCTCCTCCTAAACAGAGCAAGAGCTATAAAATCATGTGATGCCTCTCTGCTCAGAAACAGGGACACAAGCAGAGCTCCCTTTTGTTAGAGCAGAACAAATCACCTCCTCTGAAACATTGGTGTTTTTCACTCAGTGGAAGAATAGGAAGCCAAACCAACAGCTTGAGAAAAAAAAGCTACTTGTTTTCTATTGTTTATATCCTCTCTGTGCCAAAAGAAAAACAGCTTAGGGGGAGGGTTGCCGGTGTAGGATGTTTGCATTGAGCACACAAAAGAAAATCTCCCTCAGACTTAAAATCAATACTGTATCAGATAACAGAAACCTGAGACAAGCCTGGATCATCACCATCATCACGTTTCACTGATTCCGCGTATATGTTTTTCGCTGCTTTTCCACCATTTCTAGGTGTACATCTGAGTGACATAAAACACTGGTCATAAAGTGCCAGATAACTGTCTGGCCTACAAAGAACAGGGTTGCTATCTGTTTGACATGATACACTTCCAGACAAACAGTAATTAGCATATAGATTGTGAAATAGTGTGCTGTACTCTGACTCAAATCTTTGTGTAATTTCATGCTACAAGCACCAATGTGTCAAGCTGCATGACACGATGGCCTGATTCTGAGTTTATTTATATCGTCTGATGAAAACAGGTTTTGTTGTGCATTTTTCCATTTTGCTTCCTCTCTGAAAGACATTGATGACATAAGATATATGTCCCTCCAGTTGTGTGCCTGCAGTGTATAACACTCGGTTATAAGATAAGACTGTGAGTGACTGTTAGAAACTGTGAACCTATCAGGATTAAGGCTTCATGCAAATGGCATTGAACACACAGCTGAGCAGGAACATCCCATCTTGCACACCTGTATTTGCTAGTTGCCAGCTGTTAGGTAAACCAGTATTTTTATGCATCGTTCAGTGGTTCTTTCAATCTTTGTGGCCTCTGATGCACCGTCAACTCCGGACCCCTCGCCACAGGGTGCCTATGTCTGAGTTGCAGGGCAGTCTGACCAATGTGATGTGAAGTCCCTTCTTCAAATGTTTCATTTTTACTGGTTTTGGAATCATACAGAGGTTAAAATGATCCAAGCAAAGATTAAAGAAAAAAAATCATTTATTTATTTTTCTTAATTCGTATCTTGTAAAAAATTTTGTGACTCCCTTTGCAACCCCTTAGAGGATCCTGGTCCTTTGATTGGGAACCGCTGACAGTTGCATACTACTTGCAACTATGTTTTGACTGTATAATAGTCTTAACTGATACGAGCAATGTTAATGACATTCATTCATCTAACTTCTATTTATGTTGTCTTACAGGTCTTTGAGTCTTAAAGGAAAACTACAGCAGTAAGCAAGTTAAAGTATAAAGCCCTCTATAAAGTTTATAAAGATAGATGATTTGACTGGAGTTAATAATAAACTGATATAACTCTACAGAGGATATCCTGTTTGACATGGAGGTTTTGGAGGAACTAGGGATGGATGGCCAACCAGCCTTCATTCATGATTTGTTGAGAAACCAAAGAGCGGCACATCGGATCCTTCAGCCTTTCCTCACTTGACAGTTTCTCTCTGTAAGCATTTCTATAAATTCTACTCTGTCCACCTCTGCTCATGCAGCCATTGTACTGATGTTTTCCCGATGGCAGACACGCAGCTGACGATATGCAGCTATGTATGAAGCTCTGTAAGACACTCTGTCTTGGTGCTGGAAGAACTGCTTGTGGACAGTGCCAGTGTCAATGGGTGCTGAGTGCCAACTGGCACACATTACAAGTCAGCAAGATCAGCATTTACATAACAATGACATCATCCCCTAGCACCACTTAGCACACTTTGTGTTGCCATAGCAAGAACACGCCACGGGCTGAGAAAAGGCATCTGCTGGTCTAATTGTTAATTATTCATATCAAAGAGGGTCAAATGACCAACATGTTGTATGTCGAATCTGAAATTGACCAAAAACTTAATGTTTATTTTATGTCTTTATCAGTCAGAGTAGGTTTGGGTTTTAGTTCACTGGACTATTCAGAAATCCGATATTCCCACCTGGTTATTTTGTCAACAAATGGTTTCTCAATTGTGTTTTGGGAAAATAAGTAGAGAGATGAATGTATGGGGTTGCCAGATAATTACAGGGGTGAAAAACAATAGAAAATAAGATTCTGAAACACAAAAGGATGTTTTTGTTTTGTTTTTTCTAAAATTATTTTTGCTTTATCTTGTGAAATACTTAATAGTTTTATCCAGGACTCAGGAAGGAGGAAAATCACTCTTCACACACAGGAGAATAGTTGACACATGACATGCAGCCTATGATGAGGGTTTACAAATAAGCATTGCTTTGTATTATGGGGTCACAAGCAAAAAAGGTTGGGAACCACTGCACTATATCGTCTTGTACAGTCTGTCTATATTGAGGCATGAAATTGGAAGACTGCTGTGATCCACCCACTCCTGAGTCAAACTGGTCTCCTGAGGCAGAGATTTTACTCTTGTTAAAGTTAACGCTCAATGAGCAGTGACACTGACTGATAGAAAGTGAGAAATGATCAGCAGGGAACAGAAACTGAGCTGTTCAACACTGATCGATTAATGATAGAGACATAATTTTTCACTGCTATAATTTCTGATATCTGCATGTAGGCTAAAACATGTCAACAAGAATGGCTATAACTAAGGCTGGATGAGCAACTTCCGACGACAACCAGCCGAAAGCCGCAGAGTAACTGTGTTGCAATTGATCTGTGATAGTTCAAGTAAAGCCTTTACTATTTAAACTGATACCGATCTTATATGAAGCATTTTTCAAAATGTATTTGTGTGTAAACAAATTACCACACAGTGAATTTGTTGCCACCATGGGCTTACTGTACAATATGTAGAGATAGGGGGAGTAATGGAGAGTATATAGGGGCCCAGCAGTTCATTTTTGCAGACCACCCAAGGACGGTAATCAGGCCATGGCTGTTTCATTTATAAACGTAATAATAAGGACCCCAACAATCTTGTCGACTTACATTTACATGTACCAAACTATAAGTGACACTCCTTTATCTAACCTTCTCATCTGTTAAACTTGACAAAGTGCCAGACTTTGTGATGAACTGCAACCAGCTGAATTCAGGTCAAAGAATGAACCAAATTTCACAATTCTGAGAGAAAAAACCCCCCCAAAACACAGGACAGCATGCAACTGTGAATCCTGGCCAGTCATTTTCAAAACCTGTCCCTCCTCCTCCTCTTCCTGCTGCTGTTTGACCCATTTTGGATGCAATAAGCAAGAGGGAGGAGGAGAGAGAGAAGGAAGAAGGAGAATGATTCAGCATGAACAAGCAAACAGCCAATGTCGCTGGTTGGTGGTCAGATAGATTCACAGGCTCCACAGCTGCACAACTGAAACAACAGTTGCTAATGTTTGTATTGTTGTAATGGCTGAAATCTAATTTCCCTTGCAGGCAGGAATAGCCTCAGACAATTTTTTTAACCATATGACCTAAATTTCTGGAGGAATTTTGCTGCACTTTGCCTCCTAAGTGGTTTTGTTTGATGTCAACACACTTGGTCAAAGGTTGAGCCCCTTTTATTTCAGCAGACTGTAAATCAATTTGTAAAGGAAAGCCCTCTGTACTAACAGACATATTCAGGTGAAAGACCACCCGTGACAGCTGATTGGTCATGTGACCCTCCTCACATTATCAGCACACACTTCACCTGACATCTTGTGCTGACACTGAATCATCTATCAACTGTCACAGTGCAACCGATCATCACCTTTCGATCAGATGTGAACTGAATTGATCCGTTACAGTATGAACACAGGACTCACCGGCCAGTCCTCCGCCTCCATCCCCGTGGCCCTTCCGTTTCTGCAGGATGAAATATGGATTTGCTCTCTCGGTGATCCATAATGCGCCCGCCAGTAACACATCTTCGGGACTGACCCACATAATTCTCCTGTTTTTTTTTAAGGGGACATTGAACACACAGGACTGCTGTCGGCGACCATCAAACTGGTGTGGTTGTGTTCAGAAAGGATTATTAAATTACCTAAACACTGATGTGGGCCTGATATTCTCCTGAGCGATGTCTCGACACTTAAAAATATCGTCTACTGGAAGTAAGACGCGCATGCAAGTGTTGCTATAATTAAACCTGCCAGCAACGGATCGGTTAAGAGGTCCAAACAGCAAATTCTCCTGCACGCAAACCCTGTCTTGCAGCACCAGCCCCCTTGTGTGCAGCACAGGTTTTTACATAAAATCAATTTCTTCGAGGTTTCGTGGGCAGCCAGGCTCGGGGTTTGCTGCCGCACAGCGCAGCGCAGTGCTGGGATCAGCCTTTGTTGTCCATGCTCCGCTGCAGGTGCGATCCAGCCATTGTCCACGTTCGTGTTGTTTCTTCACGGAGCAGATCGCGTTATTATCAAAATGAACAGTAAATAGTCTCTAGGGTCTCCTGGGTGCGAAATCCCTCCGCGTAGTGAAGCACAAAGACGGTACCTCTGATGTTAAGCCAACAATAACGCTGCGGTCCTCTCCTCCTCCTCCTCCTCCTCCGCTGCCGAGCGTCACTGGCTGGCCATCGCGAGACGTCAACGAGCAGGAGGCGGAGACATGCGAGGAAATAATGAATGAATTAGTTAACATTTTTTTTTATTTTATTTTAACATTAATCTCGTCTTTTATAGTAAGTTAGGATGCGTCTAGTTCACAAACATGGCCGGACTTTTTGTTGATGAGCCGCCGATAACGCCCACCCACATTATGGTGGTGTCTGTAAACATGGCGTGATGGAAACATTCAGGTGCATGTTCAGGTGTATACATATATTTCTATTCTAGTCTTTCAAATCACATCAGGGCCAGATTAAGTTGCTGCAGCTGGCCATGGGACAAAAATGAGCCGAGGGCCGCTATTGACTCCCACATACACACATTTTCCCAAGTCTTTTCACCCATTCCTATGCTGGAATCCCTGGTGTAGTACATCAGTCAGTTTGTGAAAATTTAACATAAATCTGTAACAGGACAATCAATGCAAATTTATGCTGTGCAGCCATATTCAGTCCACTGCTTTATTTTAAATTCTAGTGGAAACCCTAGAGCTTCCACTGTAGAGATGGTCAATAGTCGGCATTGAATTTTTATAGGCTATGATTTTTATATATGGGACTTTATCAATTTTGCCCACTCCTACTCCAAAGATACAAAATACAGTATGTCAGGCTGAGTTTTGATGATGCAGCCATGAATCAATAAAGGGGTTTAAATATTTTACAGGATATGTAAGAAGTAAGATGTATTAACTGTATTAATGTATTAATGATTTTTCCAAAACCTCTCAGTGGGAAACTGGATATTGAGGAGCTAAGGACATGCACCATCTAAGCATAAAATCACTTAAAGTATAAAAAGGTATTAGATTGGTCTTTTTCATAGATGATACTCTCACATTTCACAAGAGTATAGCACAGGTGTGAATAACGAAATAAACGATGGCTGAATTCCAGTTAGCTGCTTTAAATTCAGGTTCTTGGTATTGTGCATGCTAGCTCACTGGCACACTTGAATAGAACAGAGCCATCGTTAATGTTATTGGTAACACCTATGCTTTTCCTGCCATGACGAGTCAAAATGTCTGCTGTTAAAAAGGCCTCCACAAGTGTAGGAGCCATCTTACGGTCCTTAACATTTCAGTTTTTAATTGTGATTAAGTGATGCATATTATCAAACAAATTTATAATTAATCAACACAGTAACTGACAGATAACCAGTGGCCCTTTAACCTGTTCCACTTTGCCTAGTTGGTAATCTATCCTTGACAGCCATCAAAAAATATACATATATCATTTTATTATTAGATGAGAAAACTTATAATATATGAGATTAGGTGGTGACAAACATATGACTATTAAATATCACACAAATGAAACAAATTATGACACACACATCTGTGAGTTTTGCTGGGTTTCCTGCCCTTTGTGGTCTTTCAAAAACAGGATGCAGAACAAGGGGGTGCAGCACTTTATTCATAGTTTGACTCAGCTCAGCTGAAACGAAGCTTCAGGTGGTTGTTTAACAACTTTCCCCTCCGGGAAACCGCACCGACATGACAGGCTGCACATTTACAGGATTGACTCCTCCACCTCAGTTGTTATTGCAGATGCAGGGACAGAAATTAGTGACTACCCTTTACAGTATGGTTTCGTCTATGGGTTTTGTACATGAGTATATTGTAATGAAAGTGAATGGGTGGGTAGGTGGGCAGGTGACATGACATTAATATCACCACTTAATTATCTTTTTATATTCAAGCGATTTTACTAATGTCAGCCTGGGGTGTTAGTCAACACACACACATCAGCTTGAGATGAAAAATGCCTCCATCTTTCTTTCTACTGCTTACAAAAACAACTTTAGTTTCCTTATTACAACCATTAGAAACAAAGGAAAATGTCATGTCTAGTGTAATACATAATGACCAAAAGGATTAATGAAGAAACATTAAGAAGCCATACAGCCATTACTCCTCGGCTCCTCTGGCTTCTAGGACACAAGATTTATAGCTTCTTCAGTGACAATGAATGGTATTCATTGTATATGAAAGGGTGATACCATTCCCTTACAGCCCTCCAGTCCTGTCAAACAATTAACAGTAACATCAAGTCTCGTACAGTCTGTTCCACTTCTTAGTTCCTGAATCACATCCCCATTCTTTATGTGCATGTACTCAGTTCTTCCTTTAAAATACGGGAAGAAAAACTTTGTGTGTTTGTGTTTTTCTTTTTTTGCGCATTTTATGGAGTTGGTTTTCTCTCTCCTCCCGAGGGGGGAAAAAAAACACAAAGAGAGCTTCTTTTAAAACCAAAATATGTTGGTTTATTTTTGCTCTTCAAAAGACATTTCCCCATTTTCTCTTAGGGGATAAGCAGGCTTATCATAAATCATGGTGGAAGCAGAAGAAACAGAACCGTGTTCCATGAAGTAGGATATATAAAAGTTAAAGTTTAACTAACCTGTTACAACATCTAAAGAACAGAGTAACAATATGAAATAGCAGGATGGTTTCAAAAGTTACTGGGTGAAGAAACAGTAAATTAATATAAATTTTTACATCCAAATCTCAGATTCAGAAGTGTCTGTATTCAGTTTCCTGGGAAACAAAAGCAGGATCCGTGAAGAGAACACTGTCTGGATCTCTGGTATAACACTGTATTAGGTAGGACACATCCGTCAAACAAACTTTCCACAGGCTATGTACTGATACAGAACACGCCGACTCATTTCCAGCAGAACAAACAACTGACCTTATACAAGAAGTGAATTAAGTCCTTCTGAGCTCATTACTTTCAAAACTAACTACAACTGTCCCCTTCTTCAGTGGGATTTTTGCAGTTCAGTGGAAACAGCCACTTTGGCGTCAGGGGAAAGCTTCTATATCTTAGCAGATACTTCCCAACTAAATGGGATTCTGCTGAGGAATTTCCCCGTTTCTTCTTACCACGCTCGGTATGACTATGTGCTGCATGTCCTCATGTCTCACTTCAACAAATCCCCACACACATACTGTGCATTATCATGGGTACTGTAGTGCCCCCCGTTGGTAAAATTCAAAACTACACATTTTCATAATTTAAAAAAAATGTAACCGTAATGCTCATATCTGTCCAACAGAGGGAAACATACTCCTCACAATCATTTACCTTGGCTTTCACTACAAAAGTATCACAGTGGACACTCGAATATAACACCCATGTGATTGTCGAACATCTAATTCCACAATCATTGGCATTACTGTGTTGCTACAACAACCTCCAATGCTTCTGGGAAGGCTTTCCACAACATTTTGGCTGCAGGGATTTGCTCCGAGCTATTTCGAGCAGTGCTGTTAGTTTATTTGATTTCACTGTCGCTCAAGGTTTGGGATTTGCAAACTCCCTTGCCGACGACTTCAAAGGCAGCTCCCTTGTAAGTTGCAACACACTGGGCATCCGTGCGAAGGTCTGGCTGAATCTGCTCCCAAATCTTCTTTTTGGGGTTCAACTCTTTATCTGGTTCACCTGCAATTGAGAAGTTATTTTGATACATTAGAGGAAATTCTTCTCTTCTCTACTACACCATCACACATGCAGGATTTATGATTTCGGGACTCTTCTATATATATTTTTTTAGTGCCGTGTAATGCCCTTGCAGAACATACTTGAAACCATGGGTTGTCATGTGCTCCTGTAATAGCCTCCACCCGTTTAAAAAGGCTTCCACAAGATTATGGAAACTGGCTGCAGGGTTTTACTCCCATTCAGCCACGAGAAAACCAGTGAGGCCAGCAGTGGGGTTTGGCGATGAGGCCTGCTCACAGTGTGCATCTGAATTCATCTCAAAGGTGTTTGATTGAGTTGAGGAAAATCATTTCTATGTGCATGGGGGGAATGTCATGTTGAAAGAGGAAGGAACCTCTCCTAAACGATTGCCACAAAGTTGGAAGGACACTACTGTCTAAAACTGTGGATGCTGTACCACTAAGATTTCCCTCAACTGGAATTAAAGGTGTCCATAAACAGTGCAAGTATGGGATGGGTCTCATAAAGTCTCTGTGTCAGACAGTACGATATAAACATTGAGGCAGATGTGCGATAAATGCCTGATGAACTGTGGTGCTACAATGTAAATAGAAGAAGACATGAGCAGAGGCATCCATACTCACCACTCTCATGTTCTGAAAATATAGCAAAGCAATAAACAAGCTGACACCTCCATGCATCCAGGGGGGAAAGAGAGCTACATATAATATCCGTTTTGCAAAGTGAGCTTGATTAAACTAGCACACCAGTGTACCTCGTCCCATTTCACGTCATAATTTGATGGGTCGGCTTGTGGGTTGTAGCAGCAGGCACTTTGTGGGATTTTGACACTCAATTTTCCGACACAGTTAGCATTTGGATGCAGTCTGTCTTTGGTCACTGAAGGCCTAAATCAGGTGTCTCATGGTGTGTTGTAGGACCACCGTTTCTGACTCACCGTGTTTCTCTCATGACGTTCTGAGAAAGTATCATGTTCGGTGTCTTCAGAGGAATGAATGCTTAACACCACTGTTGTCTCTAGCAGCAAGAAGGTTCTTCATTTCCTTAAGACAGCATTTTGTGGAAAACTCTTTCAGGAGGCTCAACACAGTGACAAGTCATCAACAAGTCACTCTCTGGTGAGCATGTACTGTATCTCTATTGTCTGTTTGGTTGAGAATGATCGTAACATTTAAGATAATGACTTATGTGTTTATGGGGGTACAGTAATCGGATAATGGTACCTGGGCAGCCCTGAAAAGTTACTCTGTCCCCTGGTAGTGCTCCAACTGGAGGATCAAGGATTTCGACTTTGTCTGGTGAGCTAGCACACATGACCATAGCCTGGGACACCACCCCTCTCATCTTGGCTGGCTTCTGGTTACACAGCAGGACTGCCATGCGGTTCTGCATCTGCATGGGAGACAGAAGATTACGTACAGCCCACATGTCTTACACAATGGAGAATAAAACCAAATTTATGCCCAGTTAACATTAAAAAAAGACACCTTCGATTGATGTGGTCTATTTTGTTTCAGGACCAATCCAATATAAACATTAGTTCTAATTCTAATGTCTTAATACATGATTACTGTGTCTGGGGATTTATGGTTTGTGTGCCTCTTGTGCCTGGAGACCTCTGTGGCTGACCAAAATTTATAAAGATTGGTGGCAGTTTCTGCCCAAAACTCAGAAGAAGAAATTCAGCATTTCCCGAGACGATGGCTGTCAGATGCAAGGAGATCCTTCACATCCTTCTGTTATTATATGCATTTGCTGTATAAATCTAAAATCACTCATGTTGTTGATAGTATATGAATGTTTTTTAATCAGTATTTACAAAACACACCACTTGACCTAGGTAATATCTTACTGTACGTGCATTGTAGACACTTGTCTTAACAGTGTAACACTATTTTATGTAATACTTTATCTTATTATGTATTATTTCCTAATAATGCCTAATATTTATTCTCATATAATAGAGTATTTTCCTCAAATATTTCACTTCTATTTGCTTGACAAAACTATAAATATGACAGTCAAAGCAGAATTACATTTTATATCTATTGGCTCTGTAAATCAAAACTCTGTACAAGCCGAGTTCTTTTTATGGACCTTGCTTTGTGCATGTTGAAACAGGAAAGGGCTGACCCAAAACTGTTGCTGAGAAGTTTCAAATACACTATTGTGCAAACTTTAGACAGGAGAAACTTAATGTTACAGAATATAATGATAAATGCCATTATATGCTGAAAAAAACGAAGTATCCCAAAGCATGTAAGGCAAGCTCAGACCAAAAGTGCAAAAAGGTGTGTGGATTAATAAACCAGTGAAAAGGCAGCATGCGTTGTCTTTCCAGCTGCAGTTAGAAAGCACTTAATAAAGCTGTGCTATAAAATTCCATCACTGCAACACCACCAATGAAGCCCACCAATGTCTAATATTTGTCTTTGTGTGTGGACAGGTTCCCTATTTTAAATGCCAAATGCTTTTTTGGCAAAGATGGACAATGTTTTGCATACATGACTTCGACAGACATATGTTTCCATTTAAATGATACACTATCTGTCCACATTTTTTTTCATTGTTTGGGCTCAGCACATAGTTGAAATGAAGGGAAATATTACTGCTACACTATACCATGACATTTTACACAATAGTGTGCTTCCAGCTTTGAGGCAACAGTTTAGGGAAGGCCCTTTCCTGCTTCAACATGACAATTCCCTGTGCACAAAGAGCCTGCCTGCACAGAGCCCTGACCCCAATCCCATCCAACACATTTGGGACGGACTGGAACACTGACTGCAAGCCAGGCCTCATCACTTAAAATCGGTGACTGACCTCACCAAAGCTCTTGCGGCTAGATGGAAGCAAATCCCTGCAGCCAGCTTTCAAAATCATGTGGAAAACCTTTCGTAAGAGCAAATGGAGGGAGGGGGGGGTGTCAATGTTCAGAACTCACATACACACTAGGTGTAATGTTGGTACATGGTCAAATAAATATGTGGACTCCCCAAGTTAAAATAATAGTTAGTTGAAGCCGTTATAATTATATCTTTAATCCCACTTCACAAATTATACAATGGTATAATAATGTACCTGGTCCACTGGTATGTGCTTAGCCAGTTCACTGACCACTGTCCTGTGAGAAGCCTCTCCCACATCCACGTGCTCCATGTACAGGCTATCAGTCTCTGGAAGCTGCATGGCTGTGATGATACGTCCAACACGTAAATCCAGACGTGACACGTCCACTTTAGGATCCTCTTGGCTGGAGGAAGTCTGCTTCTTTTCCACCTTTTCCCCTCCTGGCATAAAAAAGACAAATAACCGTCAAATCAGTTGGGAACATAAACACACTAAATCACTTATATTGTGCTATAGTGTTTGTTTGCAATCATTTTCCTCCATGGAATGTGAGTCTGTTGTTTTCTCAGCACAGAAAGTCAGACAGTTTTGCTGACAACAGGGATCTGTAAACTTTCATGTTACTGAAAAAAATGTGTATTGTAGGAAATGGCACTGAGAATATTTCAACTAACTCATATCTTCCAGGGGAATTATAAAAACAAGACAGAGTCTTGAACCACGCTAGCACCTCTGTGAGGCTGCACTTGTTAACATGCTAACATCAGCATGCAAACATGCTCTCATTGATAATGCTAACATTTTGATGTTTTGCATGTGTGATGTTTACCATGTTCATCTTAGATTAGCATGCTATCATGCTAACAATAGTTAATTAGGTCTAAACACTAAGTACTGTTGAGACTGAATTTGCTCATAAAGAAAATTATTGGAAAAAATCATTAATTTGCCAAGACGCTGGAGCTAAAGGAGAAGGTATCACTACTAATCCTGAGAGAAATTTGAGTGTTTTACTGTTGAGATATTTCACTTAAAACCACAGTGGTGAACCTGTTGATGATGCCACCACAGTCGTAGGATTAATCCTCTGGGCACCATGAATGTCTGTACAAAATTTCATGGCAATCCTTAGAACTTGTTTTTTAGATATTTCAGTCAGACTGATTCACAAATGCAGCATAATCTGCAGCATACAGTACAATGAAATTTTAGATAAAAGTGTGCTTTCAACTTTGTGTAAACATTTTAGGGATGTCCCTTTCCTGTTTCAATGTGACAGTGCCTCCATGCACAAACAAACGGTCTTCTTAGTCTGGTGCGGAAGAGCTTGACTGGTCTGCAGAGAGCCAAGACCCCATCCTACACATTAGTGGTGAACTGGAATGCAGAATGTGAGCCAGGACTTATCACCCAAAAATCAATGTTGGACCTCACTACAGCTTTTGTGGCTGAATGGGAGCAAATCCCTGAAGCTAGCCTCCAAAATCCTGTGGAAAACCTTCCAAGAGAGTGGCGGCAGTATATTAATGTGCATGGTTTTGGCATGAGACTGAGATTTCTGAGGTACTGTAGATGTAATGGAAAGCAAGGATTGAAAGAAAAGTTTGTCCTCCCTCTACTTAACCTCTTTTCTCCAACTACAGAAAATCTGGTGTTGCTGTAAGTGCAGTGAGTTTTTCGTTGAAATTAAGAATGTGAACAAGTTGCGTCACACTTCAGATCAAAACCGCTTGTTTGCAAACAAGGAGAAATTGCAGCTTTGGAAAACCAAACATATTATATCCTCGTATCATGAGGTAGCTGTGTAGAGAAGAAAAAAATGACACACAACAACCAGTACAGGTCCTCTCAAACCAGTGCCCTGGGTTCAGAGCTACCAGACAGGCAAAGTGGGTAATTGCCCAAAAGTCCCAAGTTCATTGCATGTTAGATTTGTTGAGGAATTAGCACCATTAAAGTACAAAATACAACTGCTAATGTTCTGAGGCCTATATTACGAAGCAAGTTCAACATGATCACATAACTAGAATTAAAACACTAGAAATTATTATTTGGAGCCTGGCTCTAGTAGGCCTAGTGGTTTACTATGAGAACTGTGACAGGTCATCCATTCTTCATCTTGTTTAACTGGTGTTGTAGAGCAGCAAAATATAATTTTAAGACCTGAATTGTTTAAATTTATTCTGAACTCAATTGATGTAAAGCACGTTTTTATCAAATTACTTCCATTTTTCTGTGTGGGACGAGTAATTAACAAACAGAAAAGCTGGGGAAAGGCAGTATTATAATTCCATCATAGAAGTACTGTAAGGCTGCAGCCAACATCTTCAGTGATTGTTCAGTAAATAAAATATGGGAAAATAGTGAAAAACAACATATTAACATATTAAAATTACTTGATTTGTCAGACCAGCAGTCTAAATTACCTATTAATTAATAACTAATTAATCAACTGGACATTTCAGCTCTTCAGAAGGCTACTAGTTGGTTTGTGGGTGTCTGTGGGGGTCAGTTAGGGCCCAACAACACATTCTTTACCTGGAAACCCTCAGGAATCTGTCCTTGCAGCCCAGCCAGTAAACATTAATACAAATTGACCATGAAATGAAAATCTACTTTGATAGTCTCCCTTAATGCATATTGTGATTTGAAGAAGTTTGGTTTGACTTTTGAGTTTCAGCTGAGAAGAACTGGATCAGCTCTAAACCTCACCAAGGCTCTTGAGGCTGAAAGGGAGTAAATCCTTGCAGCCAGGTCCCAAAATGCAGAAGAAAGTTTCACACGAGGAAATGGAGGGAGGGAGTGTCAGCGTTCAGCATTCACATATATGTGTAACATTGGTATATGGCCAAAAGTACGCGGACACCCTCACACACGTACGTGACTGCTGAACCTCTCCTTCCCACACCTCCTGAACGTACCTTTAGGCTTATTGTATGTGGACACTCGGCCGCGGAAACCCATCTCATGGAGCTCCCGGCGGACAGTCCTGGAGCTCACACTGGCCCCAGAGGCAGTTTGAAACTCGGTGGTGAGAGCTTCCACCGAGGGCAAACACTTCTCCAGCGCGACTCTCTCCAGCATTTGGCGGTCCTCCTCTTTGAGCTTGTGCGGTCGGCCGCTCCGGGGCAGAGCCGTCGTTATCCCTCCGCGTTTCCACTTCAGAATCACGGAGCTCACAGTGGAGCGAGGCAGGTTCAACAGCGCGGATATCTCACGCACCGACTTTTTACACAGGTGGCATCCGACAACAGTGCCCCGCTGAAAGTCACTGAGCTCCTCACTACGACCCATTCTCTCAGCAGTGTTTGGAGATTGCATACTGCATTGATTTCTGTCCTCCTCGTTTTCCTTTTCTTCTTTGGTTTTTGGCTGTTTAAATGCTACAAGGCATATTACTGCCCCCCACAGGAAAAGAATATTACAACAATAACAATTCATTGAATACATATCAGCTGTTGGTTCTTATATAACAACAACAACAACAACAACAACAACAACAACAACAACAACAACAATAATAATAGTAATGATGATTATAATTGCAACCCATGTATTTATATCATAGGTTTATAGTTAATCAAAAACCCATTTCTGTGCAGAATTTATTATTTTCCTTGTACTTGTATATATTTCTTTTTATGTGTATTTATTTTTGGGAGCTTTTATTTTGTTAATTGTATTTTTGTTGTGTGACCTTTGACATTTTGACCGTGTCACTTCCTGTCGATTCGCGTCGTTCGCGTTTGTTGGCATCAAGCTTCGCTGAGGAGAGGTAAGAGTATACGAGTGCCCCTGTCAATATCTAATATATAAAAACAGACATGAATTTCATTGTGTATAGGTCACAAACATTGTTCCCTGTTGTTATATCGGCTGTTTAAGTGTGTTTATGTAGTTTTATTATGTACAGCAATTTTTTTGTAGCATGCTAGTTTCTCAAGCTAGGCTAATGGTGTTCGGAGATAGTTTCTCATGCGGTTCGCCGCTCTCTCCTTTTAAAGGTGTGCATGAAGAAACGTGGTCATGAGAAGTGGCTGTACTGATATTATTGTGTTACACACAGGTATGTGACATCCCCCTTTGTTATTATATTTTGGAAATTTGATTTATATTGACAATTTAGTGATAATATAGTGTATATTTTAATGTATGTTAATATTTTTCTAACATATTTTAAAATTGCCGCTGGTGAGTGAGAGGATATTTTTTTGCGGAATATCGTAAACTGTAACTTTGATCAAATGTGATGTATTTTGCTGATATAAGAGAAAGTAGTAAATGTAGTGGTATGAGCTGCCCTCTGTGCGCGCTCAGTTGGCATCAGGCTGCACTGAGGAGAGGTATGCATGTCGAAGCCTGGTCATGAGAAGTTGCTGTACTGATTTGTTGTGTTACACAGCCTGCAAGAATAAATCGTCCCCCTGGCTGGCAAGACAACAGTTGTCCTCCTTGCATCTTTTGACATACATGGACACAACGCAGAGTTCATGGCAAGATGGAGCACCAGACTGGGCCAGCTACAGTGGTGCCTTGACCCTGATCCACACTGCTTCAGACTGGTTCATCATTGTTCCTGGAGCTGTGGATCAACATCAGCTTAGTCACCAGAGGTTGCCACATATCACATATTCACGTCAATGAACTTTTTTTTTTGTTTAGTCATTTTTTTATTTCCTGTTTTGAGGGTATAGCTATTTCAGTGCTTTTTATTGTGTGCAGTTTAAAAATGACATAAGGGATAAATGGATGAGGACAAGGTGGTCGAGGTCTTAGCTTTTAATTTTGCTGTTGGAAGGGGGAAATTTATTGGTGAATTACCTTGTATTCCTGTTTGAGCTGCAAATAATGTAGATACCAGCTTTCAGTTCCACTTGCATACTTGGTCATGCAGCTTCTGGTCCTAGTCAGAGAGATGCACTTTCAGGTCTCTCAGCCACATCTGACCCAGCTTTAAATAATCTGAAAACCCACATTGCTCAGCAAGTGGGCCAGACTATAAGAGACCAGTTAAGAGGTGAATACGAAGAAAGGGATGTTAGGTGCACACAAGCTCAGAGCAATGTAAGCCAGTTACCCAGTGAAACGTACCTCAACTTGACTGGTGCAAAGTTAGTCCTACAGTCAGATTTGAGAGAGCCTCCAGTCATCAGAGGAGATGGGTCTGACAAGAACACCGTCTATGAGTGGGAAGAGTTAATGGAAGTGTTCTTTAGGAAACACGCCACACCACTGATTAGCATTCTGAAATAATGTCAAAGTTAATGGGCAAGGCTAAAGCAGTTGTAAGGATAACTCTGAGAAGCAGTCCATCTACATGTCAGACAGGCCCATCACCCTGAAGAAAAACAGCAAGCTGGCAGATGTTTCTCCCTGTCTAGGTGTGGAGGATTTTGAGGTTTTTCAGGGTACAAGCCAGCCTGAAAAAGCCAAACAGGAGAGAAAATAACACCAAGCCAACAGATCTCAAACAGCCACTACAACAGGTTGGGCTGGCTGACATTAATATTTACCAGTGCTACACTGGCCAAGAGGGGAAGGAGAAGTTGGTTGAGCTGCTTGAAAAGTACAGTGACAATTTCTCCGAACATGCACTGGACTGAGGTGAAGCAAAAGGTTTCGTGCACCGCATTCGGCTCACAGGTGAGAGACCATTTCTGTCTGATGCTCAGTATATTTGGTCATCTAAACTTGAGCTGTTTGTTGCGCTGCCTTGATGATCTGCTTGTGTTTGCTGCAACTGAAGAGGAGGCTTTGAAGAGGTTGGAGATTGTTTTCCAGCGACTCAGATTTCACAACCAACTGAGCCCCAAGAAATGCCACTTAATGAGATCGTCAGACAAGTTTCTGGGACACATAAATGGCAGTGGAGTGGCTGTGGATCCAGCAAAAATTTAGCCCACTGACTGAGCTATGGACACGCACTTGTGGGGTGGAATTATTCAAGTTTGAATTTTTAAAATTCAAATTGCAATATGAAGGAAGACCACCAGGGGGACCAAACCTCATACACATGTGGGGCAAGACATAAACTACCACGCCCACCAGGTCCCATATGTACACCCATCCCCTGGCCAGATTTATTAGGAATAGGAATTTGTTTATTTGCAGATCTGTCTTATATTTGCAAGATATTTTTGTGAGTTTATTTATGCAAAATTGTATTTGTGAAAGGTGTTTTATATTTACAGATTACACATTTACTCAATGATTGTCAATCTGTTCACACAAATATCATGGAGACAAATCTACCTGCATAGACAGGAGATGAAAATGTTTTTGATAAGACAGGATTGAAGAAAAGAGGAAGAAAGGAGAGCAGAGGTGGAGCAGATGTAAGAGAATAAGATGCATTTCAAATTTTAAAATCTTCATTTTATGATCAGAAATTAAATTAATTAAGTTATTAAAACTTTTTGTTTCATATTTTCTTTGAGTGGAGGGATATTTCCAGGGATATATGAGTGGAGTTGAGAGTGAAAGAAGAAGAAAAGAGGAGGAAATGAGAGATCAGGAGTAGATCAAATAAAATACTGTATGATAATATTACAGTACATGTTTATGTTGTTTATGCTATGATGCTATTCCTTAAAGAAATTTAATATAATTAGTGTAAATGTTCTGTTGGCCTAATATCCAGTTCAGAGTAGTGAAGACATTTAGTTGGCCTTGTTGTGGATCCATGTCTGGTCAGAAAGAACAGCACATACTATTATTGTCTGGATTTAAATGTAGGTTTGTCATCTAAACATTAAATCTGTGAATTCTACTCCAGCATAGTGTAACAAAAATAGGTTTCAAGATTTGTGATGCTGTTTATGCCAAATTCATTCCCAGGGTCATGTAAATACAAAATAGTAACATCAGACAATTTTGCCCCTTTTTTTTGTGGCAGTAGTAAATATTAGTCATTGTCAAAATTAGTTGTGTTGTGGTTTCAGAATGATGGAGACAGAGAACAATTAGATAAAAAAAATGATGCAGGCTCAGGATGATTTTTTCCTGGGCAACTATCATGTTTTCCCCTGGGGGAGCATGTCCCCTTAATATAGACTGAAGCTGGGGCTAAGCCCCCGAATGTTTGCTATGTCTGGTCTCTGACAAACATCCAGCAGACAGTTTTATGGCATCTAGCACGTGCTATAATTTATTTTCATCGTGTTTGTATTTCTGTGCCAGTGGTTTATATGATTTATGACTGTTTTAGTTTGTCCACATGCCACAGGGCGACAGAGGCACCTTGTCCACGCCCCGGTCACGTGTCAATGAGCGTGGAGCCAATCCTTAGCGAGCACGGGAAACAGCTGACGGTGGACAACAACACACGGTGTCGTCTTTTCCTGCAGGTAGTGGCGTGTAGTGGACTTCTGTGCACGTAGCTCACGAACTCTTTTGGCGCCTCATCTATGAGGTTCTGGTGTCTGGCCCTGGCTTTTCACAAAGATTAATGCATTTGTAACGTGCAGCTCCTTTTAAAGGAGGGACGTGCTGCGAGCTTTCCCAGTGAGGAGGACGCCCGGAGCTCGTCATTCATCCCCAGCCAGCCGCACAATGGCACCGTCCCTCATCCGAGCTTGCCGCAGTCTGGCTCTCTCGACGTGGCTGCTGTCGTTTTGCTTCGTCCACTTGCTGTGCCTGGACTTCACGGTCGCAGAGAAGGAGGAATGGTACACAGCTTTTGTCAACATCACCTACCTGGACCCCGTCACTTCGGAGGTCAAGACAGAGAAAACCGAGTGCGGTCGGTACGGAGAGCACTCGCCCAAGAAGGAAGCCAGAGGTCTGGTTCTGGTGCCGTCCCTCCCGCAGGACAGACAGGTGTGCGACCCCCACGTCAGGTTCCCTCCTGTCTCTCACAACATCGCCTGGGTGGCGTTAGTGGCTGCGGGAAATTGTACATACAGAGAGAAAATCCGTAACGTTGCAAATCTCAACGCCTCTGCAGTTGTCATATACAATGTGGGCTCAAGCAGTGCCAACGACACCATAACAATGCCCCATCCAGGTAAGAAACAACCTGTCAACCTTCAAGTTGAGTCTATCATTATTATTTTTATTATTCTTATCTATTTTTATTCCAAGTCTCTCTCAAAATAGTTCACTGGCTGTGTTCATTCTTGCAAGCAGAACATTCACCTCACTACAGTTGTCCAGTCGTGACATAGAGGCCTTAGAGTACTAATGTCATCAATCAGTGAGTTGGACACCTCTGGCCCAGATGAATGGTTTTCATTGTTCTGCATCCCTGTAATCAGCTGAATAATCAGTTTGTTTATTGGTAAAGCAGAAAACAAACTGGCTCCCCAAGCAGATTACTAATATCCACTGGATAGATCTGGTGCATCTGCTAATTGGTTTTATGATTGGTTGCAGATCTTTGTTGAAGTGTGGCTGTAGATGAAACCTATATAGGCTATGTAATTATGTACAACTAGGGTTGGATAAAGTCTTTTAAAGTTCAGGTACACATACATGCACATCCATACCCATCCAACAATTATCTGTAGTATTAGTATTAAAACAATACCTGTACACTGTTACCTCATTCCATATTCTTCTTTTAATGTGCATGGGCGTGAGAATGTTTTGACCACAAATGGTCTCCTTCAGCTTCTGTTACTTGACACTGTTGGATACTTGTTGCTTCAGACACACATTGGTTGGTACAACAAACATACTGAAGTTTGTCATCCAGCCCTATAGTATACACACATGGATGCATTAGATAATGTATCCTTGTGTATATACTGTGTATATGCATTTTCTAATAATTACTTAAAACTACACATCAATCAACAGACATCTTTCCCATGCCTTCACTGCATCTGTTTGATGACCCAAAATATTACCTCTAATAACACAGTGGAATAAACACTTTGTACATTATACACTCATTCAGAATTTGTGTGAATAAATTTGACTCACAAATGCTGACAGTTATGCACAATGTCAATCTTCCCAGTAAGCGAAAAATAAGAAAATGTTTTCATTTCATTGCAGTCTCACCATGTGTTTAGTGTTCACTGGTGGGGTTTAGCTGTTATTCTGTGACTGTTGATACATGTCCTGATGTCTTATTATTATTGTGATTATTTCGAAGTGTTTGCAGTTGCTGAAGAAGGTGAGAACATATTACTTTAATGATTAAAGAGCATGAACATTATAATTTAAATTTAAAGGGGTAATGGTTTTTCAGTATATGATTCTTTGAAATGATAGAGGTGTTGTCTCTAATCAAAACACACAAGGTAAATGCTTGTTATATGTGCCAAGTAGCCCAGATAGTATAGTGTGAGTAAAACCAAAAGTCTGCACACAAGTTTTCTTTACTGAATTTATGCTTGAAGAAAGGAACCACTGTAATCAACATGTAAACACACAATTTAAAGTTTTGCAGATAAGCACGGGCTGAAGACTCACAGGTAAATGACTCCTCAAGACAAAGCTTAAGAGGAAGAACAACAACAAAACCTGTTTTCAGAACTGAAATGAGTAAATAATCACTATGTAAACAACACACCCAACAAACCTTTGGAGATAATCCAATGCAAAATACCTTGAAAACACAGACACGAGTTTCAACTTCAGGTTCTTCCAAGGAAAGTCGCTTTGCTTGTTTGCTGGAGGCAGGGCAGGCTGATGCATAGATAATTGGACAAACACTTGACTGTTTAAATAGCACCAGGTTGAGTATTTTGCTTGCTAGATGTTTATGACAACTATGTAAAAGCATGGTCATGTTTTGATGTGCTCTAGAAATCGTACGTAAAATCGGCCATAGACAAAGACGGGGTGTAGTTTAACTAGAGGGCTCATAAATAGGCTGTTCAGAGATTGCATAAATCACAGTGGAGATTCCTCTTCAAATGAATTGTAGTGCCCGTGTAGCTAGAGGGATGTACAGTGTACACATCCACGGCTCTGCTACAAGATGTTGAAGGTGTTTCTATGTGATGATGTGATGCCTTATTGATATTTGTGGGTTTCTTATTGAGCCTGGAGCTCAGATAATCATTTTTTTTGTTCATATGCTCTTCATCAGCGCAGGTACTCACTGACACAGGAGCTTGAATACCTGTTCCGCTGTGTAAGGTGTTCTGCCTTTTCATATTGCCAGCAACTTGCATGACAGCTCTGCCACTGTGTGTGTGTGTGTGTGTGTGTGTGTGTGTGTGTGTGTGTGTGTGTGTGTGTGTGTGTGTGTGTGTGTGAGAGAGACAAATTGTAAAGTGCTTTGTCTGTTAAAGTAGGAAAAAAGTAACTCCACAGCTCTCCTATTTGGAACAAACCTTTTTCTTTCGAGCCTGCTAAGCAGTTACAGTATAAAATACTTTCTTAGTTTAAAGTTTAACCTGTCATGTTTCACCTCTTATTTCTATTGTAAGCACACTTTTTGTTATTTTTTGAGAATAAAAGTTGACACTTAGACCTTCTGCAGTAGTTATAAGCAGTGCCCGCTTTTCCACTTGACTTTTATTTCCATTGGAAATGTGCTCTCTGTTGCTGTTGCTAGTTTTCATAAAGGTGTGGCTGACCTCACCAACACACCTGTGGCGGACAACAGCACAATGCATGAAGTCTATTGGACAAAAGGATCTTTACAAAAACAGATGTTCAAACAAAAAGTATACAACACCTGGAGACATAATAGTTGAGTCATTTTTAACTGAAAGGGTTCTTTTGTACAATAGTGTCACTTGTCAAGATACGTAGATTTAAAATCCTATTCAGAGCCTCTAAAGCTGTCACTCAAATTCAGTAACTTGCCTGACACTTCAGATCAAACATTAACCTAACATTTTTTTTTAAAGATAGTGTTCTGTCATCTCTCATGTGATGTAGGTGAATGGAAATATTTACCTTGTAACATGACAGGTCAAGAACAGGTGTGGATGGGCTGGAGGCCACATGTCCTGGTCCTGGTAGCATCACGTGGACAAGCTACAATTCGACTTACTCTCTTCATACAGTGGATACTTACAGCTGTACTAGTAAATGTTTTTATTTCAACAATTCATCGAATGACTGTGTGTAATGCGAGAGGTGCTGATCGTAGTGACAAACTCACTTATCATCACCAGACTCTGTTGTTGCTCCTGCAGCTTACACCAACCAGGCAGCTGTTTACAGCAGACAAGTTCTTTAAAACCCAATTTACGTTAATTAACAAAACAGAATCAACAGCAGGCTTGACAAAGTTAGTGACTAGCTGGTAAAAATACTGGAACATTTAGCAGCTAAAGCAGCTTCTCAGGAGTTGGTGGAGATGAACACTGATCCAAAAGGAGAGTGAATGATGGATTTTCATACATAAGGTTGTCCAAAACATGACTTCAGCTGAATTCTAACGTTGCCCTGTGTCGGCTGGATGTTTCAATAGGCAACTGTGTGCTAACTTGTTTGGCACAACAGCTATATAAAGTGGTAACACTGTATGTCACTGTTGTGTTCATTCCCTGATGGACTTCCCCCGTGTGGCTAAAAAAAATCATCAGCTAATGCAAGTTTAGGTGCAGCTTGCTGTTAATACGCCTGTAGTTTTCCTAAGCATTTTTTTATGCAGGTCTGTTATATAAGATTTAATATTTTTCCATTAATGTAATGCTATTTTTACTTGAGTAAATGGTCTGCCAATGTGCCTGTGCAGGGGATCTACAGTATTTGACCAATAATCCTCCTCTATTCCTCTGCTCTTGAAGCAGCAAACAAAGGCTTCAGAGAGGAGCCCTGGTTTACCTGCAGCAAAAGATCAAAGACACCAGACCGTCCCAGCTTCGAGCCATGACATAAATATAAACTGAGACAGTTAAAGAGACAGAGAAGGCAGCCAGGAGAGCTGTGATGACAAAGCTAGTAAATAGGAGGCAGGTAACAGAGAGTGCAGTGACAAAGGAACATGTCTCAATGTGTAGATTGAATGTGAGGGGAGCATTCACTTTCCAGAAGCAACACAGCTGGACTGTAAAATCCACAGTTGCCAGAGTCAGAAACCTCTCATGGCCTGTCTTTATTTAATCCTTCCTTCCCTTGGCCGAGCGGTGTCAAACTCGTGTTTCCATAAAGCCAGCTCAGATAAATTTGGGTTTTTCAGTTCTTAAAGTGTGTGGGTTTATCCAATCACCCTGTTGGTCTCGATGAAGCTTTAAACAGCAAAACCCCTCTTCCTGTCAAAACTCCAAGAAGATAGATTCCACTCTCATATCATATACAGCAGCCAGTTAGAGTAGCTTAGCATACAGACTAGAAACGGGGAAACGGCTAGCCTGGCTATGTCTAAAGGAAAAACAAAAATACATCATCCATCAGCAATTCTTGTTAGTTTGTTTAATCCACACAGAAACTAAAGTGTAAAATGTTGCTGTTTTGAGGGGATCTATGCACTGCACTTTCATAGCCATAGAGCAGTAACTGTTCAGTGCCAAGAGAAAATCCAGCACACAACCCCCACTTAACTTTTTGTGTGGTTTAATCAAATGAAATGTAACGTGTTAATCAGTGAGCTTTAGAGGTGCTGGTGGATGAGTTTTGTTACCACAGGCTAGCTGTTTACCCCTCTTTCCATTCTTTATTCTAAGATATTTTGCTGATTGCTTCATCTTTGTATTTACTTACTGACATAAGAGTGGTATCAAGCTGCTTATCTAACTCTCGACAAGAAAGCAATTAAGCATATTTCCCAAACTGTTCCTTTAATGAAATACTCTGTAGCTTTAAAACTCCCATGATTAAACCACAGTGTAGTCGGCTTTGTGTAGCTGTCAGGTACAGTTGTTAATAATGTGGTTACCAGTTAATTCTTTGGTAATCTGTGCCACAGTGTGACAGACAGTGAAACTGACTGACACTTGAGATTGAACAGGCTGTTGTCTACTAAATTACCCCGCTCAGTATTTATTCCTCCTTGCCTCCACATTTTGGCCTAGTGGGTCTGGAGGACATGAATCTCTTCACAAGATCAGCCTCAGTCTCTGACATTGCCCTCCTGTTTTAGAAGCAGCTATTTTTGTCCACTGTGACTGCGTCACTGTGAACAGAAGGAGATAAGAGTCAAGGCTTAGGGAAATCTTACATACCTCATTGTACCTTTCCTTATTTCTGTTGGCTGTGAAGCCGAGGCTGGACATACATGGGCAATTTGGAGTCTGGATGCAACAATTTAATTACAAACATAGGCCAGAACTGGAATGACGACATATGACAGCTGATGGCCTGAGGGTCCAAATAGATGTTGTGTTCAGCAGTGTATTACCATCTGTTTGCTGTCCAAACACAAGCTTTTGTTTTCTCACTGTTTGTAGCAGGGTTTGTCTTAAAGGCTCTAACATGGAAATACTGCTAAATGGATAACTGTTTGTGCGTAGGGATCTGTTTTTTTGGGGGTTATTTTTTTTGTTGTTGCAGAAGACGGTACACAAGAGCTTTTTTACCCAATTCTACCTAACCCACAATGCATTGCTACCGCTAATTGAGGTGTTTAATTGTTTAAAGGGCTGCTTTTGTCTCAAAATACTTGCTGTATTGAGGTATTATTTAAAAAAAAAAAAAAAAAAAAAAAAAAAAAATTAAAAAAACATCTTATGCTTGGATCCCATTTCTTGAAGAATTAAAATCTTTTCCATTTTTAGCCAGAAAACTTTGTCTGTGCTGATTCTTGAATATGCATGAAAATGAAACAGTTTAAAAGACATAATTTTGGTCTGGCTTTAGACTTTGGTCGTATAAAACAGCAGCTGTGCAGATTTTACAACAGACCTGTTATATAAAGGGATTTATGAGCCTGACGGCAATAATGCATTGCAACTACACTCTGAAAATGTACCATATCTGTCTGATTCAAAGCCTTTAACTCCTCTGGAAAACACCATCTTTTCTGTCAGTGTTAGTAGGCTACCTCTGACAGAATTACCCCAGTCTATGATGTTAAAATAGCTCTGTGCAGTGCATGAGGATTTGTCACAGCACTGTGTGTCTGACAGGCTGTACAGGAGCTGCTGTTGGTTGATGGCAGGTTGAATAAAGCCACTCTTTATGGCGGTTGATAGCGGGAGCAAAGCACCGCAGGGAGCCACCCTGACTCCAAGCAGCCGCAGCCATAAACAGGCAGCAGAGGGAATATGATGTAACAGTGCTCAGGCTGTTGATGCCATTCTGGGAATCATCAACCATTGCCTGTACAGATGAGAGTACAGCCTTGTTATTTCCTTATTGCGTCTAAAAACTGTTGGCATATTTAAGTTTCATGTCCCATGTGTCATTCCCTCATCATATATGACTTTAAATAAACATCATAAAGTAGAGCCTGTCTGATACTGGATTTTAGAGACTGCTACCACTTTTTGAGAGTTTTAAAAGCCCCTGAAACTTTGGTTTTAAATATACATTTTTACTTGGGGAAAAAACATCCTCAGGTATTACTTGTTATGGGTTTACTTTCTTAAGCTCACTGGTAAACATATCATGTGTTACTGAGTATTGTGCCACAGTGTAAAAGGATTTTTTAAACTTCTTCAAAAGTGAAATAGAAAGTAGTAGTGTTTGTATCAAGAGCTGGATTTCTGTAAGCCCCAGAGGCAAAGCTTATCTGTCACTGAGCTGAGGAGAGGCAGTAGCCGAGAGGAGGAAAATTCTCAATCTTATACTATAAAACATGGACATCTTTCAGGTGCAGATGCTTGGTGACTCTGTAGTACAAACTCCTTTATTGTGCACATCAAGCAGAGCAACAGATGGTTGCTGGCAGGAAGCCTCTGACACTGAGAGTGAGGCTTTAGTTGTGTCCTGTCTAAGCTCCCGGCAACCTACACACGTTTCCTCAGTGCTGTTCACCTGAGTCTGAACTAGCACCTGAGTTTTCACACCTGCTGTGCTTTAATTGCAGTTACTTATATACCAGGATTTTGACCTCAGGCTACTTACTTGTAAAAGTAGAGCAGATTCCTGAACGCATTTGCATTTGCAGATTGCTGTAATTGTACAGGAAGCAAGGCTGCATCAATTAATGGTATTTTTGGCAGTAGTAAGGAAAAGATAATTAGCTTTTGGTTACTTTTGATGCCAGATAGTAAGAAGTAGTATCGTTATTGCGATATATAATGTAATGTATTGTAAGAAGGGTTGGAGTAACAAGTAAGTAATAAGAAAATATGTTGCATCAAGTCCATGGTGATGTCTTTAAATGTCTTGTTTTGTCTGACTAACCATCCAAAACCCAAAGATATTCAGTTCACTAATAATCCTCACATAGAGAAGATGACTTACACAATTATTTATCAAAACAGCTTTTTATTGATTTCATGCTGACGATCTAATCATTTCAGATATATACAATACAATACAAACTTGCATTCATTTATTTTTTCCATTTTACTCACTCAACTGTTTCATTATATTTTCTATAAAATATTTGTATATATATATATATATATATATATATATATACACACATATATAATATTCTGGACACTATCAGGATATAAACCATGGAAAGAATAAACATATCAACAACTATATTCCTTTATTATGTTTTAATTTCATTTCATATTTTGTGGTGTGCGTGTGCAGGTACAGGTGATGTTGTGGCCATCATGATCCCAGAGCCTAAAGGTCGTGAGATTGTGGCCTTGCTGGAGCAGAACATCGTGGTCATGTTGCACATCACTATTGGAACCCGCAACCTGCAGAAGTACGTGAGCAGAACATCGGTAGTGTTTGTCTCCATCTCCTTCATCGTGCTCATGATCATCTCCCTCGCTTGGCTCGTCTTCTACTACATCCAGAGGTTCCGCTACGCAAATGCACGAGACCGCAACCAGGTACCAGACTGTGTTCTTTGTTAAATCAAAGTATAACTCTGTGAGATGGTGTGTATCTGCCTAAAATGGATACTCACGGTGCATCTGTGCTTTGGTCTCGCCCTTAACAATGGTCTGTGCCTTTTGTCATCTGGTGTGAGACCTGCAAGGCCGTAAGGAGAGGCCAGAATTAGCCTGACAGCTGGCCGAACAGAGATGTGACAAACCAGTGAACCATCAACCCGCTCAGCTTTCTGGCCCTTTGAGCTGACAGTGCAAATACTTGCTTTTGCCATCTCTTTATTATGAATGGCCGTCTCTGACGTTCTTGTGACGCCTGTAATGACGGTACATCAACGTGCCTGTTGTGATAGGAGCCGGGGCCATGACAACCACTGTTTGCTTTTTCACTTTAAATTATGTTGATTTATGTTGTACAAAGAATTCAGCCATACTGAACAAATCTGCTTTCAATCTATTTCCAAGGCAGCCCAGTAAGGTAAAACAGACTTTGAACAGTTATGTCATGATGTGTGTGATATCTAACTATTGTAAGACTCTATTACTGACACCACTTGCCTGTCAGTTCTGTGAGTCTGTCGCCATCTTCTAGGTTTTTCCGTCCTGTCAATATTTCCATATTGTCTTTGTATTTTTATTACCCTCATTTTGTTTTATGCAAAAGAACTGGAGAGTATGATCTGAAACAGATGTTATGACCACATCCATGTCAAAGTCTGGAAAATGCTCCTTAAACACATTCCACCAGCACAAATATCTCCTGAGCTTATTGCTGTTTCTTCTTGAAATTCATGGGAAACACTGTATGCACTACCTTAAATCATCAGTTACTCTCCAGGAAATCAGTGTCTCCGCAAAACATTTTCAGGCATTTTGTCTGACAGTTGGCTGTCAGCATTCAGAAAATACAATCAGAAGATGGATACTTTTATTTATTTATATATAATATTATTGTGTCTTATTATTAAAGCCACATTGCATTAAAATTAAAAAACCTACTCATCTTGTCAGTAATAAATACGATTTTTTCTTTTATGTCTTACAGAGACGTCTTGGAGATGCTGCCAAAAAAGCCATCAGCAAGCTTCAAGTACGCACCATTAAGAAAGGAGACAAGGTAAATGATGTTCCCCACACAGCAAACAGACACTTGAAAGCATGTTTTAAATGTGATTATCCACATGGAGGGCAATATCAATGAATTATACTGTACTTATTTTATTTGGTATGCATATATATTTGAGAATTCGCTGGTCTGTCATTTTACATCACTTTCCATTTCTGTGCCTTTTTGTTCTGTGCTTTAGGAGACTGAGTCTGACTTTGACAACTGTGCAGTTTGTATTGAAGGTTATAAGCCTAATGATGTTGTAAGGATATTACCATGCAGGTAAGGTTTGTTTGATCAATGTTGTACATAAGTTAAAAATTAGGAATCTCCATTTGTCTGTTAGATTTAGGCTTACTTGTTACTCCAACTTAATAAAAATACCTTTGGCCATCAAAAAATATCATGTTCCATAACTGCCGGTATCTCTGTATCCTGTTTAATACTCCGTTTACTGTGCACCGCCTTTTTAACAATCATTTGTGGTTGAATTAATCATTTGTGTGTTGCCACTTTATTTTGTCAGGCATGTCTTCCATAAACACTGTGTAGACCCATGGCTACAAGACCACCGCACGTGTCCCATGTGTAAAATGAACATCCTCAAAGCCTTAGGAGTCCCAGTAAGTTCCGTTTCAACTTATTTGGATCTTTTCACTGTTCTCATTCCTCCTATTAAAGCTAATCTAACTTTAAAGTGCAAAATATGAAAGTGAAGAAGACACATCATTATGCATGAGAGCAACTCTAAACATATCTTTGGCCTGTCCAGCTCAACGCTGACTGCTCAGATGAGAATCCTCCCGACTATGAGATGTCTGTCGGCGGTCCACCCACCAACCCCATCAGTGGGGCAAGTGAAATCACAGTCAACGAGAGCTCTGTAGTGCTGGACCCAGCAGGGACAGAGGTGGGTCTGCAGCAACTCTATCCTGATTCAGAGATGGTGCATCAGGCCGGGGAGAGCCACATCATAGCCAGCAGTAAGTACAATACAAGTGACATTTAAAGGTACTTGTACATTAGAGTGTTTATAGTTCCTGCAAAATTCAACTAGTGGATTATGAGTGCTTACAAAAAAGTAGTTGGAGCCCCTTGTCATGTTTGAGGTGTCTGAGTTGTTAGCAGTTTCACCAAAGAGAGATTTCCCCTTTAAACTACTCAGATGGTTTCATTTAAAAAAAAAACTACTCAAGGCTCAAAGAGGTAAAATTATCCAATATTTCGAAAAAGAAATTCTACAATTTTTTTTTTAACTTATAATATAATATCTTCACTATGGTATTGGTACTTCTACTCAAGTAAAGGATCTGAATACTTCTTCCACCTCTGTGGAGGGATCTTAAACTGGGCAGTTGGTTCAATGTTAATTCACACATAAACATATTCATCAGTTGATGGGAATTAGGAAACAGCGTGTCAGTGCTGTTATTTACTGCTTCCTGTTCTGAGGCTTGAACTAGGCCAGCAGCCACCTGGTCAGTGTTCCCCAATTTATATCCTCTTGGGTGATGCAGGAGGAAAACAACAGTGTTCCCTTTCCACAAAGTCACAACCTAACCCACATACACTCAAATACCGTGTTTGTTGAAGTTGTACATTCTAGCACCTTGTGCAAATGACTAACGGTTATTGCTTTAACTAATGACTGCTAAACACCTGCTAGCTATCACCACTTTATGTGTTCATGTGTATGAGTATATGCATATGCTTATACATGTGTTTGGTGTTTGGCCTCATATCCCCAGAACAGGGATATAGAGTTTTGAGTTTCTGTAAATGTTATTATTTGTTATGAAGTATATTAGTAATATAAGTAGCTGTGTTTCAGATTTCTCCTACATGATGGTTTAAAATGTATCTGTTCAGTTTTTACTGAAACTGTGTTAAAGAGGTGTTGATTCAACTTAATCATCACCACAGAGGCTTTAGTTTTTGGTGCTGTTGAACTGTGTTACATTATACAGAGAGGAATTTATGTTATTTAGCCTACCCTCATTGATAAAAAAGGGGTGGACAAAAAAAAAATAGAGACACCTATGAGTATTAGGTTTTAGCTTCAGCATTATGTGAACGTTGTGCTCCATACTGCTTCCAGAGCACAGGAATGGATTCCTGTTTTATATGTTGGTTCTACTTAGAGGCAAAAGATAAGTCTAGTATTTGTTGAGATAAACACTGAACATGAAAAAAATGTCCTTATATCATGTACTTTCCAATTTCCCTTAAAGGGACTCTCCTCCAAGGCACTCTGAAGCTGCTGGAGCAAAGAGCTATGTTTTTTGTGCGCTTGACAAGCTGTAGATCAGCTCACCACATGTTGGTGTTCTCCTCACGACTAATTAGAATGTAAATTAGACGTGATTTGTCGTTTTGTCGCACACTAATGAGCTGACAGAGACAATGTCACCGACAGGCAGAAAGCATGAGCTGATCTGTCAGGCAGTGGTGGAGAGCAGCTTCTGTTACATCTTTTCCCTGAATAATGAGCACTGCCATTAATGGTACTGCAGCTATCATTCTGTCACACTCAGATTGTCTGGGACTTTGACTACAACGCACACTCAGTACATGTCTGTCTGTCTGTCTGTCTGTCCGTCTATCCGTCTATCCATCCATTCATCCATCCATCCATCCATCCATCCATCCATCTATCCATCTATCCAGCTATCTATCTATCTACCTCACATACTGTATTACTCCGCAGATCAGCTGTTTGAGTGTGACAGAGCTAAGTGTAGGTGCAACTGTGCGTGGGACTACAGTAGTTCAACGGTTGAAAAAATGTAGTTCCAAAGGAATGGGCTGTTTGACGGCAAGATAAAGCGGTTAAAATATTAAAAGAATGAAGTGAACACTTAAACTGATCTTGTTTTTTTTCTGTGGGCATTTTTTTAAAAGTGGCTCCCGGCTGCTTCTCTAAACTTGCAGCGAGCTGATCCGAATCTACTGCAGGTAATACATGGGCTATAGATAACCACCTCACACTCGCTTTAAGTCAGATGGGTATTTTCAAAAGTTTGCTCTTTTGTTTTTTCCAGACTTGTTGAGCTGCAACAGAGAAATGTAGTACAAACAGGGAACTACTTAGCTTCAGATTAACTTCAGAATACATTTGCACAGAATAACACTGTGAACCATTGTCACATACGGTGCAGTAGCGTAGACAGGAGGAACGATTACAGCAACCAGCAATTTTTAATGAACAAATAGTCATCCTGTCCTTTAAGTGACAATGGCACTAAGAGTTAACCTTCCTCACTGGACTTCATTCGTCCCTGCCCGGAGGTATTGGTGTGACTGCATCCCACAATGATCCGTCAAATAATGAATCGCCTCCCTCTCTCCCCCCTCAGGTGAGCACCAGCCTCCGCTCAGCAGTGATTCAGACACTTCTATTATCATGGGCGTGGAGGTAGGCATGTCTGAAATAGACCTGTCCACAGAGCAGGAATGTGACGGGGCCAAATCCTGAGCCAGTCAGAACTGAAGAAAAAGCTTGAATCACCAGGAAAAGGAGGATGAGAACAGGACAGAGTGATTGGGGGACTCCCAGAAATTCGCTACGTCTTCGTCCCCTGGAGGAAATGACCTCATAGAAGATGGGCAAATGAGCAATACAACCCATAGCAGCACAAAACACCCTGTTCTGTCTGTACTACCTGAAAAACAGACTTGTCCCCGTGTCTGTGGACATGTCGCTTGCTCGTTTTCTTGCAGTCACACTTCACCATTTTGTTGGTGAACACAGCTCTCATATTGTGGTGGTCCGGTCCCTGTCCACGTAATTTTTTTCACATTCTTAAACTTAGCATCTGAAATACACACACAGTAACTGAGATGTTAGTGGCCTTCACTGTACTGAGAAGGCTAAATAATGTTTTCCTCACTCTGGCAACCTAAACCTGCCGCTGGACACAATATGAGCACAGGAGCATCGGGGCCTCTTCAACACCTGATTGCAGCTTTAATTATATAAAAAATATGTGCAGATTGTTTGATTTCGTGGTATGAGATCACTGCCAACGTATTCCAGAAGTAAGTTTTACTGATGTGATGGATACACAGGATGTATAGAGCCTATGTCAGCAATTTCTTAGGAGTCCCTAACAGTTGGTGTGAATACCCACCAGCAATTTTTCAACTTCAGACTTTGGTAACGTGTTATTATCCCCTGAAAACTTGAAGCATAGGTCATTAAGTTCATGCAGCCCTCTGGCATTAAGGAGTTGAAACATGTATGCACACATTATGCTGTAATTTCTAAGTGTTACTGTTACTATTGTGTGGAGACCTTCATTTTTGAATACTATCTTACCAACTGAATATTCCTGTTGAGAGGAAATAACCAAACACAAGGTAGATACTTCTCTCCACACATTTGACAATCATAGCTTGCCAAAAGCAGTTCGAAGTGATGTCACCCACTGCCCTACTGATACTGCTGCTGCTGATTTACAAGTTATCACGACACATGATGTTGCCCCCCCCCCCCCCCCCCCCCCCCCCCCCCCCCCCCCCCCCCCGTCTGTGAGGAAGGGAGTGTGAGTGTTCACACTGCTGGTAAGTACAGCTGGCTATAGCTGCTGTCACTACCAAATTCTGGCAGTGTGTACATACTGTGGACAAAATTCCGCCTCTTGTCAAGCCAGCCAATATAAACATGTCAGCAAGTCTTTGTGCCAAGTTTATCAGTAGTATTTTAAACATTGCTGTTGTTCACGCTGATTCCCTTGGCTGTCAGTCAAGCTCGAATGGCACTAAATCTGTTCATGACATGAAACTGAAGAAATAACATGAGGACACATGCTCTGCTTGGTAAGAAAAGGGGAAATGTTTTCATTTGAAATGGTCAGGGTATTCATTTGAGGGATTTGGTGCTCCAAGCATGGGTTTTTTTTTTTTTTTATTGCACGAAAAGCTCACAGCATGGAAAATGTTTACAATTATGGACAGTTAAAAAGTTTTCTTTGGACTACGTTTATAACAAGATGGCAGATTTTGGAAAATGACACACACATACACGCACTCATTTAGTAAAGCTGTTCTGCATTTTCTGAGTTTAAAAAAAACTCGGTGTTGACCTACTCTAAAGTTCTGTCCCAATTTCATACTATAGTTCTAAGCAGGTTTTAGTATGTAGTGTGTTTACACTGGAAAAGTAACAGTGTCAAGTATGAAAGTCATATTGCAGACTAAAAACCACTTGATTTTGAGTGTCTTGATGGACCCTGTTTTCCCTCATTGATTGCACAAAAGAACTGAGAGGCCTACTCACAGCTGAAAACAGTGGTTTGTGAGTGGTGATGAAACAACTTCAAAAAAGTCTTGGAAAACCAAAAAATAAGTACTAAATGGGTAGAAAGATGTTTTGTTTTTTCTTTGTGGAGTTTAATTGGCAGTGGAAATCTTTGTCACTGTATGATGACTATCAGGATATGAATTGCACCAGTTCTTGTTATAGATTTATAAAGTATCTTAATTTCTTGCTTACTACAAACTGTATTATATTGATAAGCATGCAGTACATACCATGTACAGTTAGTGTGTAGTATGGCATTGGGACACAGCTTCAGACTCCCAAGGTGATGCTGACTGTTAATTAAGATTCAGTCTACTGAAGAAATAATTCTTCTGCTCTCATTGTTCTGTTATTGTCCTGTCAATAGTCTTGTCAATACTTTTCCAATAATGTCACGCTGAACACGATCAGCAGAATCTAAGACTCGGTTGGACCTGTTTCCTCTCACATTCTTGTAGACTTGCACACTAAAGACGCGCACACACACTGACTCAGTCGATGGAGCCAGTGGAATTGAACTGGTGGTTTTCTCCTCCTGTCACTATTTTCATTATGTCCGGGAGCCACCTGGGACTCTGTTATGTAACACACACTCCCTGTGTTTGGGTTAATCATTGAAACATCAGTGGATATGTGGGCAAATGTTTCTGTTTTTCAAGAAAGCTTTGGTATTAAGAGGGGTGCATTGTAATTTTTTATTTCTGTTTTTTGAGACTGTATGTTCTTAGCTCTAGCTGCACAGATACACACACACAGGAAAAAGCGAGACAGGTTTCAGATTACCTCACTTTATATTCAGTTACTAGCACAAACTGACCAGTTCAACATGTAACCTACAATTTCAACATGCCTGAAATGTGTGGTAGCATTATGAAAGAATTGATGAATGTAGATTTTTGTATACTTCTAAACAATGCAGTGGTACTGTAGTCATCCGTTTGATAAAAAGCCTGGTTTATCTCGAGCTGTACATCTTTTTTTGTGGATATGAAGGTAAAGAAAGAGTGAGATTCTTACCAGCTCAGTACAGATGCAGATGCTTAAGTCTCAGCCAGCCTAATCTGGACCTTTTAAGCCTCTGCATGTTACATCAGCTCACATGATGATGAGATAGCACAATACATAAGACAACCTACAAGCACCCAACAGCATCAATACCTGCTGCTCTCCCCGTCTCTCTTGCTTGTTCTCTCCCTCTCACGCTACAAATTCATGGCTCTTTCTTCTGTCACCTTGACTTCTTCTCACATTTACACGCAAACATAACAAGCATTGTCTCAATCTGATCATTTGTTTGGTCGGCCAAGCAACAAGGTAAAGCAAAGCACACTCGTTTTCAGTGCCAGATCGCTCAGTTCTGGCTGTACTGCCTAATGAAACGAGTTTGTCTGAAGGTGGATTAAGGCCTTCTTTTTACAGACCACCCTAAAAATGATGTGGTTGAGCTATAAGGTTCTCTCAGTTTTGTCAGTTTACAGTGTTTCAATAACAACTCTCTCTTAGGAATAAGTTGAATTAACAGAGTTTTAAGAAAAAAGACTTGAGTGTACTCCATATAATAATATTCAATGCACTTGAAAGAAAAGAAGATTGTTCTCCCTAATTGCACCTGCAACATTTCATAAGACTTTATTTTATGTGTTCCATAATTTCCTAATCATTTTGAACAAGTTTCCTGGAAAGAACTTTATCATTTCTACAAATTTTCGGGAAAACAGAAATATCCTCAAAAGAAAACCTCCATTTAAATGTATACATTATTCATATATTACTGGAGACTTCAGTCTCCTTAACTGTAAATTTTATTTTCTATTTATGTAATGTATTATCTGACAGAGGCAGTGCTCATTCATCAACAGAGTTAGCCTAAAATGGACAATTGAATTGTATGCCTGCTTGTAGACAAATTTTACAATTAATTGGGATTGATTAATGAACGAATTAAACACAGTCTAAATTGTACCTATAACTAGTACTAAATTATATAGTTCCTTCCAGGAAATGTCTTATTTTTTTATTTATTTCTAAATATTAGAAAAATATTCAGACATTATGGACCTGCAAAATTCAGCATTACCCAAAATTATTTTACTATAGGTAGTCAATAGATTTTTATTCTGTTTTTGTTTTGTTTTGTTTTTGTTCTTGTCACTTTTCTTCTCCTTGTGTATTGCACTTTATCCCTCCAGTGAATGAGGAGCGGCTTTTTTATGTAGAGCTTTTAAGAAGAGGGCTACAGTATTAAACATGGCACATGAGTCAGCTGTTGCTTTATGTATAATGTTATGATCTTTTATCTGTACTATTATGTTTGTGTGTTGGGGGGTGGGGATGCCAATATATTGTACACTATACCCAGTTACCCAGCAGAAATAACAGCATTGCTATTTTGAAATATAAAAACAACTGTAAGTAGGATCAGTGATGTCTGTCATTTTCTTGTACCATGATGCACGTGTAGGAATGTCTGTGACTTATAATAAATTTGAATCAGGTTTTTCCAACTTTGGTAAACCTGTTTTGTTTTATATTTACTCAATAAAAAGTATGTTTTTCTACATAAGAACACTGGTAATGAAAATGTGGTATACTGTATGCATTTTACTGATTGCATCTGTGAAATACCAGAATAAAGTCACCAGTGTAGTCTGGGTAAAAGAAACAATTCCCCCATCAACTATATAGAGATCTGGCAATATGCATCATACACACTGATATACAGGTCTGAGCTTTACTACTTTATGAGCAATTTTTTTTTTTTTGTTTGTTTGTTTATTTTACAGGGACCACACAGATTGTAACATACATAAAGATAAGCAATGCAACAGATATATATATGGTGTTTACCTGAAGTAAGTGTGCTCCTCGTGTGTGGTTAGGCTTTTAAATCTAGATTACAACTGCCAAACGAATGAGTGCAAGTACATACTGTATATTCTTTGTCAATCAAATCCAATCAAAGGCTATTCAGCGATTACATCTTTGTTGTTTTTTAAGTCACTGTTTTATTTGTGTAGTCAATGTGTTCTTAATTCTGGTTGTAAGGTGATCTAGGATTGCTAGAGTTTTACTGATGACTGACATTTTTATGTGCCTTGGAACATCTTTGACAAAATGGCAAAAAGTGGTGTCTCATGTCCCTTCAGATTTCACAGGAGGAGAGGGGTGAACTCATGTTTCTTTAAGGTTTTTTTGTTGTGTTGAGTGTGGAGTAGCACAAAAATGTTCATTCTGCACATAAGTGGGCCAGTGGACCCCCCTTCAGTTTTAACCTTTTTAAAATACACTGTCCCATGGTTTGGTCTTGGTAGTGCTATATAGGTGTGTTTTTAGTCTGCACTGGACTCAATCTTCACACAATCTTTACAAATGATAAATGTTTTTGAAAGCTCTAAGTCTCCTGATTCTATCTGTGCAAAAATATTTTACGATCCTCAAATGTTTTCCACACGAAACATTGACATGTACTGTAATATTATTGTACAGTATTGTTTTTGATCTACTCCTGATCCAGGGGTGGAGACAAACATAGTAAATATTCGGGGCTGATCCCTAACTACATACTATACTCAGGGGACATGCTCCACGGGGAATTTTTTCTCCAGTCACAGCAGCTACATGCACTATTTACTGTATCAAGCCATTTGTACATCATTTGGGGAAAACATGATAGTTGACCTGGAAAAAAGTAATCCAGAGCCTGCATCATATTTTGAATCTAATTGTTCTCTGTCTCCATCATTCTGAAACTACAACACAACACATTTTGACAATGACCAATTTTCACTACTGCCACATAAAAAGAGGCAAAAATTGTCCGATGTTACTATTTTGAATCTACATGACACATGGGGAATGAATTTGGCATTAACAACACTAATTCTGAAAACCATTTTTGTTACACTATGCTGGAGTAGAGTTCATAGATTTAATGCTTAGATGACAAATTTACATTTAAATCCAGACCATAATGATATGTAATGCTAACTGCTAACTGAGCAGACATGAATCATGGTCATTTCTTTTACTATTGAGTTAATTTTAATCATTCAGTCCATTTGTGGAAGGGGTTTTATATTTACATATTA